TCGATGTTAGATGTGTCCATCAGGATTTAGAGCTGTCCAAACTAGGGATTAACATGGGTAACCAGGATCCCGGAACTGTCCCGGGATCACACTTCACATTTCCCGAAAAACTATTATGACAAGAGCCAGGAAATTACAACATCTTCCCCCAATGTCGGCACGAATGCAGACCCTACACAACATGCGCACCATCAGATTAGCAAAAAATGAAATAGCACATTATTGAGGTTGTCGCATGGAAGCCTTTAGTCTAGTGTATTTACTTCACACAAAGTCACCATTAATTCAAGCGCACGCATAATTGACACTGCCGGACTGCAGACACGACCCGAATGCAGTTAATAACCCCTACAGTAGGCCTATAGCCTATAAAAGAACGTGTGCCTCTTTGAGCTTTCATTGTGACTCTTCAGACAGTCACAAATTTAATAGACCGATGCACAATTCACAGACATGAAAAACTGTTTACAATTCAGAGGCATGAGGGAATATTATATATTCTCCTGTCCTAGAGCCTAGGCTATTTTCCTATCAAGTCCCACAATCCTGACTCCTGCCTCGCATGAAAATTCCTAACTAGGTTGCATTATAGGTTGCATTATCAAAGCACTTTTCTCGCCTATGAATGTCAAAATACAGCTATAACGTTCCCCCCGCTTCTCTGCGCTGTCTCGTACTTGCTGTCCATATGAGAGCTTCGGTAGAGAATGTGTGATCAACAAACGGTATGAGAGTAGATATGGATATTTTTTAAACAGATACCTTGATATTTAACCCTTTCCAGCCTGAGCAGAATGTTACATTTCTTGCTGGATCATGACCATATATATGAAAACATGATACATATTTTTCAAATGATATGACATACAATGGCACCCCATCAATCAACTTGTAATCAGTCAAGAAATAACACCTGTAGAAATGTTTTTTTTCTCATTTACACAACTTTCTAATGAAGATCAGACACTTTCTTATCTGGATAGTATGTTAAACAAAAATCTGTACCGAAACAATAAAAAAATAGCATTTAGTCTTACATAAGAAAGAAAGAAAGAAAGAAAGAAAGAAAGAAAGAAAGAAAGAAAGAAAGAAAGAAAGAAAGAAAGAAAGAAAGAAAGACAAACAAGTAATATAATATTAATGAAACAAGAACTTTATCGAAAGGATACATTTGGGGAATACATTGTCTCATTCAAACCTGGGAAAAAAAGTGCAAGTTATCGGCATAATAGCCATAACATTATATACAACATTCATCTCAGGGATATTGTCATCAAAATGAATCTGGAATTACATAATATGATAAGAATAAGGCATTTAATAACGATAATCTGCTTTTACCATTTCAATTTCTTCTGTATATCCGTCACACTAGGTCTATAGCCTATCAAGTGAAGCGTCATAACGGGAACAATTTAAAAGCCCAACATTATTTACAGTCTTTACAAGTTCTTTATATCTCCAAGGCCATGAGAGTCTTGAATCAAACATGCAGGCAGGCTGGAATGCAGGATGTATGGGCAGTTGCGACCCGTCATTCAGGGCAGGGCCCCACCTGTTTTGAGCCCCATCTGTTTAGCAAAACATGCTATTTTGGCGTTAATACGTGTCACATATCAGTTTGCAAACAATACTTTTAAAAAAAAGCATTGAGTTAATAAAGCTGCATACAAACATGGTCTCTTTCTTGCTTTCTTGAGTAAGGCAGCTCCAAAATGCAGGTGTTTCAGCCTAGCTCAGTGCTTTCTGTGGTGGTGGGGCAACCAGCGGAAAATAAGGAGTGTAGGGGTTGGTAATGTTCTCTAGTTGTGCCGTGATCGGCTCAGTGTTCTGTCACTCATGGGGACACTATGTCACCGCAAAATTTACGGGGAGAGCTCAAAAATTCAAGCCCCTTGGGTGCTGCCATAGAGTTCCATTAGAAGTGCCCATCGAAGAAGGCTCAAGGTCATTGGCAATAGATAAAATGATGTCAAATCACGTTATATCTACCGTAGCTTTGATTGGACTGATCATGTCAACATCATTCTTTCAAAATCTTAGCTAGCAGTCATCATCATGAATCAAGTCGACAATCTACTGGCAAATCCTTTTTAATCCTTGTCATATGAAGAGAAATTATGGATAAAACGTATCGGTGCTCATTAACACAACATTACACAAGATTTAAATCGCAAATTCAACAATGAGTGGTTTGGAAGCAATCAGTGGCTAACGGCAAGCATTGCAAAGCAATCACTAGCCTGCTATTCAGTGGGGTGGGTGTGTGGTCCAAGTCTGGGTTTAAGGGTCTCTTTTCCAAGCCTAAAAGGATAAACATTCAACATTGGCCATGCTGTCAATCCAGCATGTCTTCTGCCGCATTCAAAACAACTGCAAACTCAGAACTGGGAAATCTCAGACTTCAGTGAGTTCAAGACAACTGGAAACTTGGGAAAAAAACAAGCTCAGACTGGGAAAATACGTTTTGAACGGTCATCCAACTCGGAATTCAAAGTCGGGAACTCAGGCCTCTTTCTAGAGCTCCGACCTGAAGATCACTGACGTCATGATTCAACCTTGTTTTTTTCAGAGTTCCCAGTTGTCTTGAAATCACCATAAATCCAGGGCATGCCAGACTTTGATGACAAAGTTTGAGGACAAAATTTGCCCACGAAGGACCGCCACACCACCTTCCTGTTCAAGTGAGCACAGCACAACAAGGTGAGTCCAAAAATGTATTGTATGCTGCTGCATTAATGATGTAATATGCCAGGGATATGTATATTGTAGCCAATGAAGTAATACTAAGTGTATGTTGTGTAGTAAGCTGGCGTTGGCCTACACTGAGCTGACAGAGGAGCTGGGTCATATGAGAGGTTTGGCTGTCAAATAGATAGATCCTGAGGAAGGCATCCCACGAGCAGATGGGTCAGTATGTCCAAACACATGACGCAAATATTAAAGATTACACACCTTATTGATGTTGAATAGAATAGAAACCAGTGAAACCAGATTGACCACTGGTTTCCCTTCACTTGCCTTGAAACAGAATGTGAGCTTGCCAGGCTGGTTTAGAAACACATTATGCTCCCTAGACCGCCTCCACCCTCGCCTCTCCACTTGTTTCCCCCTCCTCACCTCCTTCTGGTCCCCCCTCTTACTCACCCACTGGCCCTGCCTCCTACTCCTGCCGGCCAACCAACCACTGGCTGCACACCAACTTCCAGGTCCACCGCAGCTACTCCGAGATAGCCGACTCCTCTGCCCACCAGAGGCCCCTGCCTCGGCTCCTCCATGACCCTCTCCTACATGTTCCTCACCCTTGTATGCTTTCCTTTCCTTATCCCATACACAGTGGCGATTTTAGCATGTAAATCTTGGTGGGGCAAACAAAAAAAAAATGTTTTTAGATTCATGCCAGCAAAGCCACAACACAACACTAAACAATACATGAATTGCACTATAACGGTGACGACCATGAAGGCCTGATTCACACAGTCTCCTCTGAACAGTTGATGTTGAGATGTGTCTGTTACTTGAACTCTGTGAAGCATTTATTTGGGCTGCAATTTCTGAGGCTGGTAACTCTAATGAACTTATCCTCTGCAGCAGAGGAAACTCTGAGTCTTCCATTCCTGTAGTGGTACTCATGAGAGCCAGTTTCATCATAACGCTTGATGATTTTTGCGACTGGACTTGAAGAAACGTTCAAAGTTCTTGAAATGTTCCGTATTGACTGACCTTCATGTCTTAAAGTAATGATGGACTGTTGTTTCTCTTTGCTTATTTGAGCTGTTCTTGCCATAATATGGACTTAGTCCTTTACCAAATAGGCCTATCTTCTTGTCACAACACAACTGATTGGCTCAAACGCATTAAGAAGGAAAGAAATTCCACAAATTAACTTTTAAGAAGGCCCACCTGTTAATTGAAATGCATTCCAGGTGACTACCTCATGAAGCTGGTTGAGAGAATGCCAAGTGTGTGCAAAGCTGTCATCAAGGCAAAGGGTGGCTATTTGAAGAATCTCCAATATAATATATATTTTGATTTGTTTAACATGTTTTTGGTTACTACATGATTCCATATGTGTTATTTCATAGTTTTGATGTCTTCACTATTATTCTTCAATGTAGAACCCTTGAATGAGTAGGTGTTCTAAAACTTTTGACCGGTAGTGTAGGCCTAATAGTACATAATAATAATAAAAGGCATTGGCAAATAAACCAATGCCTTCATGGTCCTCTTCCTCAACATGCTGGTCTGCAATGAGCTTGACCTTATCAGAGCTGTCAGCGGCGTCCTCTGTAGGGAGGTAATGTAAGTGTACCTGCCTTTGTCTCCATCCATCTTTACCTATACAAAATAAATAACGTTATACTGTAATTAGTTGCCTTGTTTCATAAATACTATAAAAAACGTTTTGAGTCGCTAAAGGGCTGTAGACTAACCAGAATGCCATTATTTGACTTAAAGCAAACACTTTCACACTTTGCTTGTGTCTAGATAGGCTCATCCATCACATGGGATGTGTTTGCAGAGTTCTGTCAATGAGGTGGTTGGTTTTAAATTGGCAAAAACGTATCACATGGTTTGTGCAGGCAGAAATATGGTGCGTTGGGATGCTATCGGAGACTTAAACATTTGTAACAAGCATGGTAACAAGCAGTCGTTGTTACGCCACTGTAATTACAGAGTGCAATTACCATCAGTTACATGTTGTTATTACAGTGTAACTATGAATGATTACAATTAAATACAATACTTCTTACATTGTAATTACATATGTAAATACACTGTAATAACGACCCCTTAAAATGAAGTGTTACCTTTTAATGTAACATTCAGATTAGGGAGCTGTTTGCATGAAAGCAGAGGAGTGTGAACGCCCAGGGAGTTTGACGCAGCCCAATCCCATTCTGACATCTTACACCACCATTACCGGCAGAAAGCAGACTCTAATTAGGCAGTGTTATTGAATTAAGACAGCCCAATGTGTGGTGCTGCGCACATTAATCATGCCTAATGTGGATGAGCGGGGACTCTGCTGCAACCAGGCGACACCACTGCATGGGACGGAAGGAGGGAGGGGGGCGGCTGGCTGCGTGGCTCTTTTCTCCTCACCCGGTAGACGGAGGGAGAACGGGATGGAGGGACGAGAGGCAGATGACTGCAGCCACCCCCTGACTGAGCAGGGTTATAGCAACACATAAGAGCATTGTCTCTGTTTACCACCATCCCTCTGTGTTCCTTCCGTGCAAGTCCCTGTCTGTCTGTCTGTCTAGCTGAGCGGGCGTAATGCCACAGACTTATTTAAAAGGCAGAATAAATGGCATGTTATGGTATTTATGTTCTCTCCTGTTGATCACACTGAGAGGGATGGGAGAGTTTCTCTACCAGAGTTCTGGCGTTGGTGACAGAGCAAACATAACCATGACCAGGGGGTGGAGAGACCTAGATGCTAAGCGTGCACCGTGACTTGCTGCTCATGTAGCTTGTGGTAAATAAAACACACAAACTCTCTCTATTACTCTTTCTTTCTCTCTTTCTCACACGCACACACATACCTCTAAAACAGTTTTGTTTGTAGTAGCACAGGTGTAGTATTGTCTAGTGTTATTATTTTAGCTGAGGGTATATTTGCATTTTTCTACGCTGCTGTTTATTATCTATGCATAGTCACTTTACCCCTACCTACTTGTACGTATTACCTCAATTACCTCGACTAACCTCGACTAACCTGTATCAATTTGATTTGATTTGAAAGAGGTTACAGATTCTACCACAGACAGAGAGACAGACAGTTCTGGCATTACCTCAGCATTATCAGCTCACCTTCTCCTGCTGTTTTCTGGGACAGGGGGATGGGCCTAAGTGGGAGTTGGCTTCTAACAGGTCATCCTCATGCAAAGACTTACAGACAGCTACTGTCAACAGCACAACGCAGTAACCTTGACAACTGTGTCAGGGAGTCCATTGGGAATTGCAAATAGGAAAAAGCCTAATACAGTGTCAGTTTGTGTCTGTGTGTGTGTGTGAATCTCCACCTTTTCATTATGTTTCACACCAGGCATTTATGTCATTGAGAGCATTTCAAAATCTTGTCTTAATGGCTATAGTTCTGCAAGGAATGTGCCATCATTTATTTTACAATTTTCCATAAAATATGATTTATAAAACTAGCACTGACATTTCTAAATTCCACACACAGTGCAGAACCAATCTTCCCTCGAGGGACATCAAACAACTTGAAACTTTTAATTAACATTTGAAACATTTTAATGCTTCTACAAGCAATCATTTTTCATAAAATCTTTCTCAGTTGATTTTGTGTGTGTGTATGCGTGTGCATGCATGCATGTGTACGTGCGTGTTTGTTTGTGTGTGCGTGCATGTGTGTGTGTTTTATCACTTATAACCATGTAAAGGCCAAGTCAAGTGGATGTATTACTTCTGGGACTAGCAGACTTAATTTAGGACTAGTGTAATGGAAAACTGATACAGTGGACAGATACTTGTGGTGGCCTGCAAAGTGCCTGCTGGTTATTCACTCCCACTCTCCCGCTGTATTAGCCAGTGGAGTGATAAGAGACTAAAGAACTCTATCTGGAGTAAGTTGAATACAATATGTGGGCTGAGGGTGATGGATGTTTTAGATTGAGTGATAGGAGAGAGGCCCTACATGACAGCTTTATGTCCTTATGTTTACCATTCTCCAGTCCCCAACGCTGTGTACTGTGTGGTCTAATGTACTGCACACACAGAGGAGACAAGAAAAACATCTCAGTGTAGATGACAGAGGATTCAATGCCTTATCTGTGTATTAAAGAAGACTAGACACCCCAGAGGCTTTCAGAGGTTACACACCTGCCACGTTCCTCCAGGGTCACTAGCCATGAGATTTAGAACACAGGCAGAAGAAACAAGCTTAGAAACTAGTGGATAGAAGGAGCAGGGAAGAGAAAGGAAGGGCAAGGCGGAATTTGATGACTCAGTGGAGTACAAGCAATCACATTGATGTCTTAGAAACCCAATTGTGTTTGATAGAGAGGGCAGATTGAGGCGTAACTGGTGCACTGCTTTGAGCCACAGAAGCCATTTTGGATCAGATTATTCATGGTACTACTGTGGAGATATTCCACAAGGAGCCATTTTGGATCAGATTATTCATGGTACTACTGTGTTGATGTTTCACGAGGAGCCGTTTTGGATCTGATTATTCATGGTAGCTACAGTACTGATCCTCTACCAGGAGGGAGCCATTTTGGATCTGATTAGTCAAGTCAATTCAAGTTTATGGTGTACACAGTACAATGAAATGCTTACTTGCAGGTTCCCTCTCGAATGTGGCAACAATAAGAAAGAAAAAAACGAAACAATATTAAGCTTAATGAAATAGAATATAATAATTACAGGCACTCAAAAAATTTACAGTACAATATTTACACGTGTGTCAGAAGCTTCTGATAGGCTAATTGACATAATTTGAGTCAATTGGAGGTGTACCTGTGGATGTATTTCAAGGCCTACCTTCAAACTCAGTGCCTCTTTGTTTGGCATCATGGGAAAATCAAAAGAAATCAGCCAAGACCTCAGAAAAAAGATTGTAGACCTCCAAAAGTCTGATTCATCCTTGGGAGCAATTTCCAAACGCCTGAAGGTACCATGTTCATCTGTACAAACAATAGTACGCAAGTATAAACACCATGGGACCACGCAGCCGTCATACCGCTCAGGTAGGAGACGCGTTCTGTCTCCTAGAAATGAACGTACTTTGGTGCGAAAAGTGCAAATCAATCCCAGAACAACAGCAAAGGACCTTGTGAAGATGCTGGAGGAAACAGGTACAAAAGTATCTATATCCACAGTAAAACGAGTCCTATATCGACATAACCTGAAAGGCTGCTCAGCAAGGAAGAAGCCACTGCTCCAAAACCGCCATTAAAAAGACAGACTACGGTTTGCAACTGCACATGGGGACAAAGATCTTACTTTTTGGAGAAATGTCCCCTGGTCTGATGAAACAAAAATAGAACTGTTTGGCCATAATGACCATCGTTATGTTTGGAGGAAAAAGGGGGTTGCTTGCAAGCCGAAGAACACCATCCCAACCGTGAAGTACGGGGGTGGCAGCATCATGCTGTGGGGATGCTTTGCTGCAGGATGGACTGGTGCACTTCACAAAATAGATGGCATCATGAGGAAGGAAAATTATGTGGATATATTGAAGCAACATCTCAAGACATCAGTCAGGAAGTTAAAGCTTGGTCGCAAATGGGTCTTCCAAATGGACAATGACCCCAAGCATACTTCCAAAGTTGTGGCAAAATGGCTTAAGGACAGCAAAGTCAAGGTATTAGAGTGGCCATCACAAAGCCCTGACCTCAATCCTATAGAAAATCTGTGGGCAGAACTGAAAAAGCGTGTGCGAGCAAGGAGGCCTACAAACCTGACTGTTAGACCAGCTCTGTCAGGAGGAATGGGCCAAAATTCACCGAACTTATTGTGGGAAGCTTGTGGAAGGCTACCTGAAACGTTTGACGCAAGTTAAACAATTTAAAGGCAATGCTACCAAATACTAATTGAGTGAATGTAAACATCTGACCCACTGGGAATGTGATGAAATAAATAAAAGCTGAAATAAATAATTCTCTCTACTTTTATTCTGACATTTCACATTCTTAAAATAAAGTGGTGATCCTAACTGACCTAAGACAGGGAATTTTTACTAGGATTAAATGTCAGGAATTGTGAAAAACTGCGTTTAAATGTATTTGGCTAAGGTGTATGTAAACCTCCGACTTCAACTGTACATAAGTATTCACACCCCTGAGTCAATACTTTGTAGAAGCACCTTTGGCAGCGATTAAAGCTGTGAGTCTTTCTGGGTAAGTCTCTAAGAGCTTTCCACACCTGGATTGTGCAAAATTTGCCCATTATTCTTTTCAAAATTCTTCAAGCTCTGTGAAATTGGTTGTTGATCATTGCTAGACAACCGTTTTCAGGTCTTGCCATAGAGTTTCAAGTAGATTTAAGCCAAAACTGTAACTCGGCCACTCATGAACATTCACTGTCTTCTTGGTAAGCAACTCTAGTGTATATTTTGCCTTGTGTTTTAGGTTATTGTCCTGCTGAAAGGCAAATTCATCTCCCAGTGTTTGGTGGAAAGCAGACTGAATCAGGTTTTCCTCTAGGATATTGCCTGTGCTTAGCTCCATTAACTCACCAGTTCTTAATGATTACAAGCATACAAATAACATGATGCAGCCACCACTATGCTTGAAAATTTGGAGAGTGGTACTCAGTAATGTGTTGTATTGGATTTGCCCCCAAAAATAACACTTTGTATTCAAGACCAAAAAATTGCTTTGCAACATTTTTTGCAGTATTACTTTAGTGCCTTGTAAACTGGATGCATGTTTTTTTATATTTTATTCTGTACAGGCTTCCTTCTTTTCACTGTCAATTAGGTTATTATTGTGGAGTAACTACAATGTTGTTGATCCATCCTCAGTTTTCCTCTATCACAGCCATTAAACTCTGTAACTGTTTTAAAGTCACCATTGGCCTCATGGTGGCCTGAGCTGTTTCCTTCCTCTCTGGCAACTGAGTTAGGAAGGACGCCTGTATCTTTCTAGTGACTGGGTGTATTGATACACCATCCAAAGTGTAATTAATAACTAACCATGCTCAAATGGATATTCAGTGTCTGCTTTTTACATTTTTACCCATCTACCAATAGGTGCCCTTCTTTGCGAGGCATTGGAAAACCTCCCTGGTCTTTGTGATTGAATCTGTGTTTGAAATTCACTGCTTCGACTGAGGGACCTTACAGATTATTGTATGTGTGGGGTACAGAGATGAGGTAGTCATTCCAAAGTCATGTTAAACACTATTATTGCACATGGAGTGCAGCTTATTATGTGACTTGTTAAGCACATTTTTACTCCTGAACTTATTTAGGCTTGCCATAACAGGGGAGGGGGTTGAATACATATTGACTCAATACATTTCAGCTTTTCATTTGTTATTAATTTGTAAAATGTCTAAAAACATAATTCCACTTTGACATTATGGGGTATTGTGTGTAGGCCAGTGACAAAACAATATAAATGTAATCCATTTTAAATTCAGGATGTAACACAACAAAATGTGGAAAAAGTCAATGGGTATAAATACTTTGAATACTGTATATATATTTCCACACTATGAGGTTGGAATAATACTGTGAAATTGTGAAAATGATGATTTAAAAAAATCACTATGCGGTAAACTAGTTGTTAGACCAATAAGAAAGAGAGTTCCAAACCTCTCTGCCAATAACCTAACAGCAAATTTTCAGTTTTCCCCTCCCCACTCAGACCACTTCGACAGTCCTATTTGCTTGAGAAATTGCTCTTTGCTAAGAAGCTATTTTTGTTTCTTTTTGGCTATTTTAATTGAAAACACAGTAAGGTAGTTAACTGTTACCTAGAAATGATTTGATATTGAGATAAAAACGTCTGCATTGGACCTTTAATGACAAGCTGGGGCTAGACAGCATTTCCAGGCCTATCGATTATAATATTGCGGCAGGTTAAACGACTCCCTGTGGGATCTCCTAGGCAACTGGACCGGGGCCAAGCTGCTGAGCATCGAACTAACTTAATCCAGGTATAAATCCCGATTCTAATCAAGTTTTTTTAATGTGCGGGCGAAGCAAGGTGATAAGTCACCCATGCCCCTCACATTTCCATTAATGAAGCCCTGTCATAGAGTCCTAGTGAATAGATTATTGATGCCATATAATTTATTTTATACCCTTAATACAGCTGCTTAACTGTATTTTTTAACAAACTGTCTTTGTTCATGACTACAGAGACAGAGACTATCTATACAGGGACAAGAAAACAGGTGCTATTTGGGGTCAGTGGTTTGTAATAGATTATAGGAGACACTTGAAACAGGACAGTAGCATTTTTACTCTGTCATCACATTTAGCTTCAGAAGACGCCCGCCCAAACTACACAGAGCATGCGCAGTATAAAAAGTATGACAAAGTTATGGCTAGGAAGAAATGATACCACACCCTATCATATTTAATACAGCTGCCTAACAGTATTTTTCAAAACCAGCTCATTTTCATGACTTCAAAGAACAAGAAAACAGCAGAAGAATACAAGTGCCATTTGGTTTAGTGGTTTGTCATAGCTAATAATGGCAGTTCTGCCCTAGGTCCATCTTCAAGTCTTTATTATGCTTTGTTAATAAGTGGAATTATGTGTGAATGAGTGAGAAAAGGGAGGAGCAATTATCATTAATTGGAAATTAATGCCTATTAGCTTTCATTTAAACCTGCCTAAGCTCTGCCTAATAGGATATAATGGGATAATCCTATACCGGTTTGAAAGAGTTGGTTAAGTGTGGTCCATTGTATTTTCATTCACAAAACCAATGTCACTGTAAACACTAATAACATATTAAATACATGCATCGGAAAGTAAAACAGGCGTGGTTGTCATTTTCCAGATGCCTCTGTCGACATAGCCTATGAAATATTTAATGGGTATTGCGTGGCAGGTCGGAAAACAGCCACGGAGCCAAACAAGGGTGAGTGGAGCTATTCACTTCAGAAATGACCCACTGGAAAACCTACAGAGCTATATTCATGCCAGCCCATCTATTCTATTCATGAGGCATTGACCTGTGGGGGGTGGGGGAGGAGAGGGAGGCAGGGGGGGAGGAGGGGGAGGGAGGGGGGGAGGAGAGGGAGGAAGGGAGGGAGGGAGGAGAGGGAGGGGGGGAGGGGAGGGAGGGAGGGAGGGAGGGAGGGAGGAGGCTCATTTGCTCCACAGCCTCTAAGACACTGCCAGGAGATCAAACTCCCTCCTTCCCACCCTCCCACCCTCCCTCACCCCCTTTTCTTCTCCTCTTTCAGGAGCGGTGGGTAGGTAGTTGATAGACAAGGCTTGTGACCCAGTTTCTCCCAGTGGAAGATGACTGAAGTCCCTGAACAAAAGCCTCCCATCCTGTCTCTACCTACAAGAGGAGATAGAGGATGGATAACTAGGACTCTAGCGAATGCATGCTATCTTTTTCCCTGCACCAAAGACCTGTGTATCAGGGATGGTGCCGGTCGCCAAGTAACAGTGTCGTTTCATGCTTTTGGATAATGCTGATTTAAATTCACCTAGACACTGGTACGAATTTGCAAAATGGAAAGATAATTCATAAAAATTTGGAAGGTAGATTAGGGCCAAATGAATGGTATTGTTGAATAAATTTCACAGCAGTTCAGTGTAAATTGTTTACAACCCTGAGGGCCCCTCGAAGGTAGAGCCGCCTGCCACACACTGTTTTCACAGGGCCAGCTTGATATGGATGGGATCTGACAGTTAGCATCATGACACTTAGCAGCCGCAGTGCCCATTTTCTGTTTCTCCTATTTTCTGTTGACTCTCTTCCATTTCCTCCCTACCTCCTCTACCTCTCTCTTATCCTCTCCTTTCCTTTTCTGCCCCTGTCTCTCTCTCTCGCTTACTCCCCCCCCCCCTCTCTCTCTCTCTTTCTAGGCCTCACATGGTGACAGAATACATGGGTATCAGGAACGAGAGCTTCATGAAGATTGCAGCAGTGGGGACATGGATGGGGGACTTTGTGACTGCGTGGATGGTGAGACAACAACCATTTGTAGCCTGTAGTAGCCCAACACTGATTAGCAGCAACTAGAATGTAAGCACAAAGACAGTGGAATGTGTCTTTATACCCTTAGCACCAGGAACAGAACAGAGGTCACAGGAAACGCAGAGAAACATAGCGGTTAAGAGTAGAGGAGAGACAGTGAGGGGTGCCTCTACACCAGCCCATCCCTGTTCATTTGTCAACATAAAGAGAGGATAGAGCTCCGCTGGGATCTGGGATTGGACTGCCTGTGGTGGAAGAGAAAGGAGTTTGACACAACACCAACGGGGAGAAAACTTGACAAGCTTCCTCAGAGTTTCCATTAGTATTCTACTGTACACACTTCAGAGAGAGGGAGGAGATATGGAGGAGAGAGAGAGGGGGATAGAGGGAGAGAGAGGGGGAGGGAAGAGAGAGGGGATATAGAGGGGTAAGAGAGAGTTAGAGCAAGGACGGGCAAGGCAAACTGCTGAATCCAGACATTACTCTCTAGGTTTTTACATTCGATTAATTCAACGAAGCACTTTCAAGACGACCTCTGTGTGTCTCCTTCTCCTCGACAGAACAGATATTTCAGAATGTGTCATCGCTAGATGAGTGAGCAGAAAATGGCTGTTTTTGCAACACTGCTCATGCCAGAAAGATTTAACTGATTTTCTCAACCAAATCCTTCTCCACTCTATCTGATAGAAGTAGATGTGGCCTATTCAAAATGCACCCTCGCCTCAATGAAGTACCTTCTCCGAAAGTCTGGATTTGCGTAGTTGTGCATACAATCCTCTAAAATGTAAATTGATGTTGATCAAAGAAAATGAACTTAGATTACTTTTAATGATTGACTATATAAAATAGGAATATAAACAATGCAATACTATTTGAATTGATTATGCCATTCCATTGCAGTGTTCCATATGCAGAATGGCAAATTCTTAACCATCTATTTTGACACTGTATTCAGAATGAAATAACACAATCTCATTCCATTCCTGACGAGTGTCAGAATTCTGTGATTTAATATTTGAGTTTAATTCAGAGATCAATAAAAAAAAAATCAGGATTACTGAAAATGCCATCTCAGTTTGAGTGCAGTCTTAGTATTGGTGCTGTACTTTCAACCCACAGCATGTTAATTTATTTATCCCTCACACATATTATGTGGTAAGTTAACCTGGGTCTTTCCCAGGTTACTGACATGATGCTCCAGGACCAGCACTACCCAGACTGGGGCAAAGCTGCCAGAAGGTTCTGGAAACAAGGCAACCACAGGATAATCCTCTTCTGGTAGGTTCTGTCTCCAGTCTAATGCATACAATATGCTGCCCCTGAGCACGATCAGCGTGTGTATGTGTGTGTGTTTATCACCTGTGTGTATGCTAGGGTTCATGAGTGTGTGTGTGTATGCTAGGGTTCATGAGTATGTGTGTGTGCATTAGCATGCATACATTTATTCATGTATGGGTATTCAGACAAAGCCCTGTGTGGATGGGAGGTGTGAAGGGAAGGGAAAGGGGATATCTAGTCAGTTTTACAACTGAATTCATTTAACCGAAATGTGTCTTCTGCATTTAAACCCAACCCCTCTGAATCAGAGAGGTGCGAGGGGCTGCCTTAATCGACGTCCACGTCATCGGCGGCCGGGTAGCAGTTGTTGTTGGAGGTTAACTGCCTTGCTGAAGGGCAGAACACACATTTTTCCACCTTGCCGGCTCGGGGACTCGAACCAGCGAAAATTAGGTTACTGGCCCAACGCTCTTAACCGCTAGGGGTTACACACAGTTACACACAGAGTCAATAGGCCTGTTAATCTTCCTCTGCTCAGTGTCGGCACATTTAATGAGAAGAACAGGCAGAGGAAATCAATGGACACAGCAAGCTCACAGGGCCAGCTATACCCCTGCCTTTACAAACACACATACATACATACACACACACACACACACACACACACACACACCTGTCTTTACCTCACTGAGCCAGAGCAAGGGCTATGACCCGATCAAGCTGTTACACTGTGTCCAATAATGCTCAACCCCAAGGGAGCGATCAATGGCCAAGATATATCACACAGTCACTCCACCAGGTCAGCATGAATGTTGTTCGCTACTGCCAGTTAAACATTACAGGTTGATGCCCTTTTCTATTAACCTAATGCTGTAGTGGTTATTGAACAGGACAGAGGACACTATGGTCATTTCAGGGTCAGGGATATTTTAGCTTATGTTATGTAGAAACATGAACACTGTTGAAGGAGTGTGGTATTGTCTGAGTGGTTCGATATGAAGTGTTTATTTCCAAAACGCTATATCCACCAATTTTTCACATTTATATATGTTTTTTGTCCGAAATGATTTCTTATGGGTACCTTCATGTGTGTAAAATATTACTGTTGTCAGATTTTTAATTCATAGATTTTAGATGTGTATGATTATTTATTTATTTTTGCAAAATGCTATCCATTGTTTAGCTGGAATGGAATGTTCGTATCCTGTATATTTCACTGTGATATGTGGTTGTCTCACCTAGCTATCTTAAGATGAATGCACTTACTGTAAGTCGCTCTGGATAAGAGCCTCTGCTAAATGTTTTACATACAGATCTCATATTACTGTATTTAATTATTAAAATATATATACAGTATAGATGTCACAAATGTATCACTTGTACATTTCTTTATAAAAAATGTAGTTATTTGTTACATTTGACTGCAGTACTACTTATTTCTCTGATTATTTGTCGCTCTGAAATCAAACCATCAAGTGATAGATTTTAAACAAATACATGTCTGTCATTGAACAACCCCATGCCATGATTAGATAGTGAAAAACACACCAATATCATTCATAATTTATTTAAACAATAAAAGCTAATTGACCAACATTTCTGAAAATTGCTATATAAAGTTTGGGAATGAAACTCTTCATATGTATAAATGACTAATACATTGAAGTTCAAAGCCACACTCTTCAATTGATTGTTCCTCTATTAGGATGCAAGGGAGTTACCTATAGTCTCCATGGCTACTCTGGAAGCCTTTGTCTTATTGATGGATGCCCCCAGTCTGACTGTCACAATCAATTTGTACTCTGACGAGCCATCATCTCAAATACTGAGGAGAAAGTATGATTGATGAATATGTTGAGGAATGTATCTTGACATTATGCAGCAATTAATCTTGGTAAATCACAATAACAGTGCTGAAAATAATCCACTTTAGAATTGAAAAAACCAAACTGTGTCTCATAACATTTGAAACATGTTATGGCTTGGCGCTAGCTATCTGCAATGCAGCCAGTTACCATGGGGATGGAACAACCCACACAACACCAACGTAATAATTACTGAATGACTGAATGACATTGAAACAAGTACAAAGAAGAGCAAAATATAGTTTGCTAAATCCAAAGTCAATAACACACAGATAAACATCAAATTATACCTAAGAGAATTAGTAACCAACATCAATATTTACATACACCTATGATGAGGTCCTCTTATTATTGTATTGTTGTTATGTAATTTAGAGGAATGAGCAGAAGACACATTTTCGTTGTCTGCCGTAACAAATGGACAAAAATAAAATGGTAATTAGTAAATCTGTGGAGTTACCCAGGTGACTAACAGGAAACGAATGCAATTCTACTTCCTCACTCCTCCAGGACGGTCCTGATCACTCTGACGTCAGTGGTGTTGCTGGTCATCAGTACTGACTGGATCAGCTGGGACAACCTGAACCGCGGCTTTCTGCCTAGCGACGAGGTCTCCAGGGCCTTCCTGGCTTCCTTCATCCTGGTCTTTGACCTGCTCATTGTCATGCAGGTAGGGGCTCCCCCATGGCCAATTAAAAACTAGCTGGGCTCCATTACTCTCCCCTTCTTTTTTTCCCTCTATATCTCCCGTTCCTCACCCCTCCCTCAGTCACAGGGGCACTGCGGCACTGGGTTGAGAGGGGGAGAGAGGGAGACGTTTGATCAGTCAGAGCCTGCATGACTACACACCCACTGCTGCTTCTGAGTTCTATCTACCCCTCATCTCCTCATCCACCCAGCCATCCCTCTATCCAGCCATCCCTCCCTGCATCCGGCCACGCTTCAGCCAAGGACTTACCACTGCTCTCCTCTTCTGTGAACCCAGGCCTTTTTAATGATGACTCATAACATTTTATGTTTTCTTTCCTTTTTTCCACTAAATGTCCTCCATCCCTCCATCCCACAGGAGCCTATACATCAATAAAGTGTTTGTCAGTGGCAAACTCATGAATATGCAAATGTATTTGTCTGGGTAGAAAATGCATAGCAGTGTTTCAAGGAGAGAAGGCTTTCAACACAGTAGCCTCAAGCCAAATACAGACTGGGTGGTTTGGAACGCAAGCCTAATTCAGTCAGGCTTCTGCTTATGTTTATTGGATATATTTCATCCGCTTTCTTATTGCTTAAAGGATTATGTAGTCTAATATTTAGGATCCCTTAATTGTCTGTTTCCAAATGTTTTATGTAATACATAATTACTAGCTTCTCATGGATGACTGTACAGCGTTATTGTGTAGTAAATACGTCAGTCTCTCTTACTCTACAGAGTCGACACCTGTGGTTATGGCACAATTCTTGTTTTTACAGGGCTATGATGATTAGTAAACAATGATATATCTGTAGCATACAATAATTTACTAAATTGTATTACTGTTAATCGCTATTTCCTGTTATTGCTCACCTCAGACATTCACTTGATATATTTAAATAATGTATTACATAGTCAACTGTTGAATTACTTATTTTTGATTAACATGTCCGTTTTTTCCATTGTTTCAAGTTTTGTCTTTGCATGGGCCTCATTGCTTTTCACTGGGGTCCCGTCTCTTCTCAGAAACAGGCTAATGCATAGTGACCAGTTTATTCCGCCTGCTGTCAGTTGGAGCTCCCATCTCCTGCCTCAGACATCATCCCATATGACTACAGAAGTCTCCATGTTGTGACATCCTCATTTGACTCCCTAGCCCCAGCCAGTACCCAATTACTCACCAATCACATCACTCCTGTTTTCCCCCACTGGGCTGTATTTCACACTCATTCAGATGCCTTTGTTTATGAAAGCTAGCCCCCTCTCATTTTCTGCGCTGTGTACAACAAGCACGTTTACTATGGTTATTTATTATTTCAATAAGTCCCCGCCGTAAGTGCTCACATGGACCTGAGGCCTGCTGTCAATGCACTCTACTGTGGCATAGTCAATAAAAAACCCTCAACTCCTTCCGCGACTCCGACCCACGGCATTCCAAATGGCTTCATTCACCTTCATGTGGGCGTGTTGTGGCTGGTAGTTAATCTCTCACCTCCATGAGAAAAGACTGAGGTTTTATTCCCAAAGTAATTAACAGACACAATTAACGGGCTGGATTGACCTCCCAGTTGATGGAGATTTGTGAGGCTTTCATTTTATTTGGGTATTTGATAGTCTAGTATATTCTTCTGTTTTTTTCCAGGTGTGTGTGTAACTTAAAGACTTAAAGACTTATTGACTGTGTGTGTGTGTGTGTGTGTGTGTGCATGCTCACTGTTGATGTCCTAGAGACTTATTATTTCATGTGAGGGGGCACATTGCTTAAATGTCATGCTTATTAGTGGAACTGTATCAGGAAACGAAGTATAGTTGAGTAAGTGGAAGGCCTAATTAATATCTAGGGGGGAATATCTATCTTCAGATCCTCACATATGAAAATGTATTCAATTTGTAAGTATTGAAAATGGCTGCTGTTAAATAACTATCACTGTAAAAAAGAACACCCACAAATCTAGTTGTTTCAACAAAATATTATTAAGTAACTGGTTCCACAGCCTTTTTTTGTTTACTCAACTTTTTGGTCCAAGTGTTACCTGAACAAACAAAAAATGTGTTGCCCAAACTTTGGCAAAAATTCAGTCAATTTAAAATGTGTTTGCTTAAGTTGTCTCATATGTTCATTCAACTAGAAATTATTATTTGTGCATCTTAACTAAAAAGGCTGTGCAACTGGTTACACACACACAACCAGTGCTTTTAACATACAATGTTTTCAATATTTGACACATGTTGACATACATGATTACATTCTGCATGTTAATTTATACAGTAATGTATTATTCAACATGTCCTCACCTGGGATTTGAACTTGGCATTCCAATCTTCCTGCTACACCACCATGTCTGTGCAATTATCAGTTAGTCTGACTAAAAGGCTATGGAACCAGTTAATTAAGAATATTTAGTTTAAACAACTCCATTTTGTTTTTCAGTGTAGGCTATACTGTCATAATCGGAGAAAATGCCGCTATTCTTAAAAAGATAGCAAGATCTGTGTGTGTCTTTGGGTTATCTAAGACATACAGCATGCCTCTGTCTGTTCAACACACATACAGTGGGGGGAAAAAGTATTTAGTCAGCCACCAATTGTGCAAGTTCTCCCACTTAAAAAGATGAGAGAGGCCTGTAGTTTTCATCATAGGTACACGTCAAATATGACAGAAATTAAGATTTTTTTCTCCAGAAAATCACATTGTAGGATTTTTAATGAATTTATTTGCAAATTATGGTGGAAAATAAGTATTTGGTCACCTACAAACAAGCAAGATTTCTGGCTCTCACAGACCTGTAACTTCTTCTTTAAGAGGCTCCTCTGTCCTCCACTCGTTACCTGTATTAATGGCACCTCTTTGAACTTGTTATCAGTATAAAAGACACCTGTCCACAACCTCAAACAGTCACACTCCAAACTCCACTATGGCCAAGACCAAAGAGCTGTCAAAGGACACCAGAAACAAAATTGTAGACCTGCACCAGGCTGGGAAGACTGAATCTGCAATAGGTAAGCAGCTTGGTTTGAAGAAATCAACTGTGGGAGCAATTATTAGGAAATGGAAGACATACAAGACCACTGATAATCTCCCTCGATCTGGGGCTCCATACAAGATCTCACCCCGTGGAGTCAAAATGATCACAAGAACGGTGAGCAAAAATCCCAGAAACCACACGGGGGGACCTAGTGAATGACCTGCAGAGAGCTGGGACCAAAGTAACAAAGCCTACCATCAGTAACACACTACGCCACCAGGGACTCAAATCCTGCAGTGCCAGACGTGTCCCCCCTGCTTAAGCCAGTACATGTCCAGGCCCGTCTGAAGTTTGCTAGAGTGCATTTGGATGATCCAGAAGAGGATTGGGAGAATGTCATATGGTCAGATGAAACCAAAATAGAACTTTTTGGTAAAAACTCAACTCGTCGTGTTTGGAGGACAAAGAATGCTGAGTTGCATCCAAAGAACACCATACCTACTGTGAAGCATGGGGGTGGAAACATCATGCTTTGGGGCTGTTTTTCTGCAAAGGGACCAGGACGACTGATCCGTGTAAAGGAAAGAATGAATGGGGCCATGTATCGTGAGATTTTGAGTGAAAACCTCCTTCCATCAGCAAGGGCATTGAAGATGAAACATGGCTGGGTCTTTCAGCATGACAATGATCCCAAACACACCGCCCAGGCAACGAAGGAGTGGCTTCGTAAGAAGCATTTCAAGGTCCTGGAGTGGCCTAGCCAGTCTCCAGATCTCAACCCCATAGAAAATCTTTGGAGGGAGTTGAAAGTCTGTGTTGCCCAGCAACAGCCCCAAAACATCACTGCTCTAGAGGAGATCTGCATGGAGGAATGGGCCAAAATACCAGCAACAGTGTGTGAAAACCTTGTGAAGACTTACAGAAAACGTTTGACCTGTGTCATTGCCAACAAACGGTATATAACAAAGTATTGAGAAACTTTTGTTATTGACCAAATACTTATTTTCCACCATAATTTGCAAATAAATTCATAAAAAATCCTACAATGTGATTTTCTGGATTTTTTCTTCTCATTTTGTCTGTCATAGTTGACGTGTACCTATGATGAAAATGACAGGCCTCTCTCATCTTTTTAATTGGGAGTACTTGCACAATTGGTGGCTGACTAAATACTTTTTTTCCCCACTGTACGTATTCTTCCCAGACGTTATCTTCGGGTTATTTCAGACTATGTTTCAAGATCTTACATTGTTGAGTCTGTATTGACTTTTCCCAAGCAAGGACTAAGGAGGCACAGAGGGCACCTTATAGACGTCTGTATTGAGTGGTTTGTGATGTGTTTTGACATGAGGAAACCCCAATGCACATAGGCACAGTACAGGGTCCTGTAAACACACACTGTGCACTGCAGCTCACAGTTAGGCTTTTGACCTCTTTGGTACCTTACCCGTCAATAGACAACTCCCCTGAATCCCTAGCTAGTATCATGAAAATAAATCCCTGTTGTTCACTTTGGAACATGATGTATTGTTGTCTTTGATTTTATGCTTGGTCTTACATGATGTGTTGTTTACTTCAGTAAAAGCTCTCACTATGAAAGACTTCTGATCAGATAGACTCCTGGGATGGTTGTTGAAAATGAGCGTGAGCTATACACACTATGTTGCAACGCATTGGATGATTGTGTATGCCATGTGTTCATGTGTTTGTACCTGTCCCTATTCAGATAAACCATACATAGAATATAGTCTGATGGGATGATGTATGTGTTTTCAGGACTGGGAGTTCCCTCAGTTCATGGGCGACCTTGATATGAACCTGCCTGGCATGTCCACCACACAACTCAAGTTCAAACTTCCTGTCTGCAAGAGCATCTTCAAAGAGGAGTACCACATCCATATCACAGGTACGGACATTAACAAGCAACATGTATCACACATAAAACATACTATTTAGATGGTATAGAGGGATACCACTTATTTCAATATTTTCGCACTCCATCTGACCAGCTGTGATGGAGAAATGTTGATGGTTGCACCATGACACTGGCCTAAGATGAATAGAGATCAGATACACCTGTTGTAACGTGTCTTCTTCATCCTACTAGCAGTGCTTGTTTCTGACATCATCTTCCCCCCTGGACCTATAGCACCCTGCTGCGGCAGACGCACCAAATGTTATTTGTCATATGCTTAATAAACAACAGGTGTGGACTAACAGTGAAATGCTTACTTACGGATCCTTCCCAACAATGCAGAGAGAAAGAAAATAGAGAAATAATAGAAAAGTAAAACACGTAATAATAAAAGTAATAATAGATAGACAATGAGTAACGATAACTTGGCTATATACAAGGGGTACCAGTACCGAGTCGATGTGCAGGAGTATGAGGTAATTGAGGTACAGTGGGGAAAAAAAGTATTTAGTCAGCCACCAATTGTGCAAGTTCTCCCACTTAAAAAGATGAGAGAGGCCTGTAATTTTCATCATAGGTACACGTCAACTATGACAGACAAAATGAGAAAGAAAATTCCAGAAAATCACATTGTAGGATTTTTTATGAATTTATTTGCAAAATGTGGTGGAAAATAAGTATTTGGTCAATAACAAAAGTTTCTCAATACTTTGTTATATACCCTTTGTTGGCAATGACACAGGTCAAACGTTTTCTGTAAGTCTTCACAAGGTTTTCACACACTGTTGCTGGTATTTTGGCCCATTCCTCCATGCAGATCTCCTCTAGAGCAGTGATGTTTTGGGGCTGTCGCTGGGCAACACAGACTTTCAACTCCCTCCAAAGATTTTCTATGGGGTTGAGATCTGGAGACTGGCTAGGCCACTCCAGGACCTTGAAATGCTTCTTACGAAGCCACTCCTTCGTTGCCCGGGCGGTGTGTTTGGGATCATTGTCATGCTGAAAGACCCAGCCACGTTTCATCTTCAATGCCCTTGCTGATGGAAGGAGGTTTTCACTCAAAATCTCACGATACATGGCCCCATTCATACTTTGCTTTACACGGATCAGTCGTCCTGGTCCCTTTGCAGAAAAACAGCCCCAAAGCATGATGTTTCCACCCCCATGCTTCACAGTAGGTATGGTGTTCTTTGGATGCAACTCAGCATTCTTTGTCCTCCAAACACGACGAGTTGAGTTTTTACCAAAAAGTTCTATTTTGGTTTCATCTGACCATATGACATTCTCCCAATCCTCTTCTGGATCATCCAAATGCACTCTAGCAAACTTCAGACGGGCCTGGACATGTACTGGCTTAAGCAGGGGTACACGTCTTGCACTGCAGGATTTGAGTCCCTGGCGGCGTAGTGTGTTACTGATGGTAGGCTTTGTTACTTTGGTCCCAGCTCTCAGCAGGTCATTCACTAGGTCCCCCCGTGTGGTTCTGGGATTTTTGCTCACCGTTCTTGTGATCATTTTGACCCCACGGGGTGAGATCTTGCGTGGAGCCCCAGATCGAGGGAGATTATCAGTGGTCTTGTATGTCTTCCATTTCCTAATAATTGCTCCCACAGTTGATTTCTTCAAACCAAGCTGCTTACCTATTGCAGATTCAGTCTTCCCAGCCTGGTGCAGGTCTACAATTTTGTTTCTGGTGTCCTTTGACAGCTCTTTGGTCCTGGCCATAGTGGAGTTTGGAGTGTGACTGTTTGAGGTTGTGGACAGGTGTCTTTTATACTGATAACAAGTTCAAACAGGTGCCATTAATACAGGTAACGAGTGGAGGACAGAGGAGCCTCTTAAAGAAGAACTTACAGGTCTGTGAGAGCCAGAAATCTTGCTTGTTTGTAGGTGACCAAATACTTATTTTCCACCATAATTTGCAAATAAATTCATTAAAAATCCTACAATGTGATTTTCTGGATTTTTTTTCTCAATTTGTCTATCATAGTTGACGTGTACTTATGATGAAAATAAAGGCCTCTCTCATCTTTTTAAGTGGGAGAACTTGCACAATTGGTGGCTGACTAAATACTTTTTTCCCCCACTGTAACTAGGAATAAAGTGACAGATAGTAAACAGTAACAGCAGCGTATGTGATGAGTCAAGTAAGTTAGTGCAAAAAGGGTCAATGCAGATAGTCTATTTGGTGAACTAACTATTTAGCAGTCTTATGGCTCGGGGCTAGAAGCTGTTTAGGGTCCTCCTGTTGGTTCCAGACTTGGTGCATTGCCATGCGGTAGCAGAACAGTCTATGACTTGGGTGGCTGGAGTCTTTGACAATTTTTAGGGCCTTCCTCTGACACCGCCTGGTAAAGAGGTCCTGGATGGCAGGGAGCTCAACCCCAGACATGTACTGGGCCGTATGCACTACCCTCTGTAGCGCCTTGCGGTCAGATGCCAAGCAGTTGCCATACCAAGCGGTGATGCAGCCAGTCAAGATGCTCTCAATGGTGCAGCTGTATAACTTTTTGAGGATCTGAGGGCCCATGCCAATCCTGTAGTCCATGATCAGCACCTTTTTCTTGCTGACGTTGAGGGAGAGGTTGTTGTCCTGGCACCACACTACCAGGTCTCTGACCTCCTCCCTATAGATTGTCTTATCATCGTCGGTGATTAGGCCTACCACCGTCGTGTCGTCGGCAAACTTTATGATGAGGTTAGAGTCATGCGCGGCCACGCAGTCATGGTTGAGCAGGGAGTACAGGAGCACTCAAAAACATGGTGTTGCATCCTGAGCTGTAGTCAATGAACAGCATTCTCACATAGGTGTTCCTCTTGTCCAGATGGGAAAGGGCAATGTGGAGTGCAATAGAGATTGCGTCATCTGTGGATCTGTTGGGGCGGTATGTGAATTGGAGTGGGTCCAGACTGTCTGGGATGATGGTGTTGATGTGAGCCATGACCAGCCTTTCAAAGTATTTCATGGCTACTGATGTGAGTGCTACGGAGCGATAGTCATTTAGACAAGTTATCTTGGTGTTCTTGGACACAGGGACTATGGTAGTCTGCTTAAAACATGTAGGTATTACAGACTGGGTCAGGGAGAGGTTGAAAATGTCAGTGAAGACACTTTCCAGCTGGTCAGCGCATGCTTTGAGTGCATGTCCTGGTAATCCGTCTAGCCCTGCGGCCTTTTGAATGTTAACCTGTTTAAAGGTCTTACTCACATCGGCTACGTGATCACACAGTCAAACATATTCTCAGAGAGTACACTCTTCCATTTAAACCATCACCCATGTTTCATTACGTTCCACAGCATGCTCCCAGTGACAACCATCAAGGAGGAGAGAAACTAATGTTCCCGTGCTAAATGTTAAACTGTTCAAACACTCCCTGATTTACGCTAGGTTGTTAACCCTAATGCATCACACACCCATTTAGCATTATGTTAACAGTCTTACATAATGTGATTGCTTTGACTAAAAGCTTATTAACGGTGGTGCATCTCAGGAAAGGAAGGGAATGGTGTCACATGTACCCAGGGAATCATCAGCCTTTAGATCAGTAAACCTGGAGAGATTGCTACCATTAATGTAATGACCTCATTTCATTAAGAGTCAACGTTGGACCTGGTACCTGCAAATGTATTCTCAAATGCCTTAACATACATACTGTCTGTCTGTCTGTCTGTCTGTCTGTCTGTCTGTCTGTCTGTCTGTCTGTCTGTCTGTGTTTTGTGAATTGATTACCTTGAATGAATTAGATTCTTAAAAGCTTTATAATTTGTCCCAACAGTACAGCAATCAGTGAATGAAAGGACATGTCAAAGTCAGCTTGGGCACAATACAATATACAATTCATCTGGATTTTGCCATAAAGAAGTTACTATAACTGCCATACTGTCTCTTTCTCCCTGCAGGTAAGTGGTTCAACTATGGCATCATCTTCCTTGTGTTGATCCTGGACCTGAACATGTGGAAGAACCAGATCTTCTACAAGCCCTACGAGTACGGCCAGTACGTTGGTCCAGGGGAGAAGATCTTCACCGTGGAGGAGCCCCACACGCTGGGTGACTTCAACCGTAGCACGCTCACCTACAAGTGGCGCTCCAGCAATGTGGACCCGCTGACCAACCGCTCGTATGTCCATCGGGACATGTTCTTGCACAGCCGCTATGTGGGCGCCAGCCTGGACATCAAGTGCCTGGCCTTCATCCCCAGCCTGGCTGCCTTCGTCCTCTTCGGCTTCTTCATCTGGCTACTGGGACGTTTCCAGGACAGCGAGACCTTCCCGGAGAGCCAGGTGGACAAGACTTACGAGAGGATTAAGAGGAAGTCTCCGTCGGAGTATAGTAAGGACATGGGCGTCACGCCAGAGGAGGTGCACATCTCTATGAGCGAGACGCTCAAACGTTCCGGAACCCCCATGCTGCTGTCAGTGGACGGGCATCACTTGGCTCCACACACCGCCACCTCCACCAACTCCATCTCGCCTGTTTCCACGGAGACCCAGGAGACGCACCCCAGCATAGTCATCGACAGCGCGGAGCCGGGAGAGCCGGCGGTTTCCTTTGAAGTCAGTAAACTGTCACCGCCCTGACCTTACTTCCTTGAGGGGAAATACTGCTATAATGCTACTGTCTGCTGCTGACAGACAGACAGCCTGTAGGGAGGACAGGAGACAGAGAATAGAGAATAAGACCAAACTGAAAGACAATTTCAGTCCAGATCTTTTCAGTCTGGGTGGATATTGAACACAACACCGATTGAGTGTTCCTGGAGCAGAGGATGTAGCTACACTGGTCTCTTGGGTTCTTCTGGACTATTGGTTTTGCTACCAGTCTTTTTGTAAGACCGTGTTTTTATGATCTCTAAGCTGACACCAACACAATGACAAACAGGTTATTTTAACCTCCCTCACTGCAAAGTCGTATTGTCAACATGGTGCTATCGCTAGATTTTACGTTTTTGTAATACAAAGGTGTTTTTTCTAATCGTGACATATTTTGGTGCCTATGTGGGAGAACTACTTCTACAGTCGATCGTGACCTTGGGACTATAAGGCTCTATCTGCGCAAAGCATAGTTCTGAGATATTGAGCATCAAAGTTTTCACATCCCAGAACTCAGAACTGTTTTGTAGTGAATTCTTCTTTTATAACCCATTAAGGTCCTCACCTTAAAGGTATCTAAATTGCAGAGTATCAAAATCCTAAGACATTTGTAAATCTGTTTTTTTAGGGGGGTGCAAAACGCAGATCGAACCTTATGGTTCTGAGATGTCAATCTGGGTTCAGCCATAAGGTTCTATCTGGCACAGAATGTTACAGTTATTTCAATTTCAAAAGAAAAGTACAGTCATGTAATGATTAAATAAGGAGAATACCCTTCCTTCTTTCTAATCACATCATCAAATATATTAATTAATGTTCATCACACATTTGTTAAACTGATAGTTCGCTAAAATGACAAATACACTATATCCTACTAGCAACATTGCTAAAGCTTAGTTCTGGATGAGTAAACTGACATATTTTTCTGGTCTTTAGTTATCAATCAAATGTGGTACGTTAGTAATTTTGGTGAAATACTCCTTCCATGGAGGTTTTCGAATTGATATAGAACAAGATAAAAACAGCAATGCATCTCCAATGGGCCTAAGGCACCTGTGTTTATTTATTTTTAACATAAAGAGCTTAAGTGGTGGCCATTCTAATGAAAAAGGGATGAAAAAATCTAAGTAATTGCAAAAGAGGACCAGAACCTATGATGTCAATAATTGAGGACTTTGGCCTATAAGGTTCTATCTGCAAAATGTACGGTTTTGAGATAATTAGTATTTTTTAAGTCCCAGATCTCAGAACTGTTTTGTGATGTCTTCCTCTTTCATGACTCAAAAAATACATCACCTTACAAACAATAGTTTTTTATTGACAACCCAGCATTGTGTGATTGAATTGCAGATAGAACCTTATAGCACCAAGTTCAAAGGTGTTTGCGCAGATAGAACTTTCAGATTTTTCATTCTTTCCATTGTGAATGGACTTTTTCACAAATCTGACATATCTCACATGTGAAGGATCTCCTAAAGAGCAACTCTTACAGTGGGGGAAAAAAGTATTTAGTCAGCCACCAATTGTGCAAGTTCTCCCACTTAAAAAGATGAGAGAGGCCTGTAATTTTCATCATAGGTACACGTCAACTATGACAGACAAAATAAAAAAATCCAGAAAATCACATTGTAGGATTTTTTATGAATTTATTTGCAAATTATGGTGGAAAATAAGTATTTGGTCAATAACAAACGTTTCTCAATACTTTTTGATATACCCTTTGTTGGCAATGACACAGGTCAAATGTTTTCTGTAAGTCTTCACAAGGTTTTCACACACTGTTGCTGGTATTTTGGCCCATTCCTCCATGCAGATCTCCTCTAGAGCAGTGATGTTTTGGGGCTGTCGCTGGGCAACACGGACTTTCAACTCCCTCCAAAGATTTTCTATGGGGTTGAGATCTGGAGACTGGCTAGGCCACTCCAGGACCTTGAAATGCTTCTTACGAAGCCACTCCTTCGTTGCCCGGGCGGTGTGTTTGGGATCATTGTCATGCTGAAAGACCCAGCCACGTTTCATCTTCAATGCCCTTGCTGATGGAAGGAGGTTTTCACTCAAAATCTCACGATACATGGCCCCATTCATTCTTTCCTTTACACGGATCAGTCGTCCTGGTCCCTTTGCAGAAAAACAGCCCCAAAGCATGATGTTTCCACCCCCATGCTTCACAGTAGGTATGGTGTTCTTTGGATGCAACTCAGCATTCTTTGTCCTCCAAACACAACGAGTTGAGTTTTTACCAAAAAGTTCTATTTTGGTTTCATCTGACCATATGACATTCTCCCAATCCTCTTCTGGATCATCCAAATGCACTCTAGCAAACTTCAGATGGGCCTGGACATGTACTGGCTTAAGCAGGGGGACACGTCTGGCACTGCAGGATTTGAGTCCCTGGCGGCGTAGTCTGTTACTGATGGTAGGCTTTGTTACTTTGGTCCCAGCTTTCTGCAGGTCATTCACTAGGTCCCCCCGTGTGGTTCTGGGATTTTTGCTCACCGTTCTAGTGATCATTTTTACCCCACGGGGTGAGATCTTGCGTGGAGCCCCAGATCGAGGGAGATTATCAGTGGTCTTGTATGTCTTCCATTTCCTAATAATTGCTCCCACAGTTGATTTCTTCAAACCAAGCTGCTTACCTATTGCAGATTCAGTCTTCCCAGCCTGGTGCAGGTCTACAATTTTGTTTCTGGTGTCCTTTGACAGCTCTTTGGTCTTGGCCATAGTGGAGTTTGGAGTGTGACTGTTTGAGGTTGTGGACAGGTGTCTTTTATACTGATAACAAGTTCAAACAGGTGCCATTAATACAGGTAACGAGTGGAGGACAGAGGAGCCTCTTAAAGAAGAAGTTACAGGTCTGTGAGAGCCAGAAATCTTGCTTGTTTGTAGGTGACCAAATACTTATTTTCCACCATAATTTGCAAATAAATTCATAAAAAATCGTACAATGTGATTTTCCGGATTTTTTTTTCTCAATTTGTCTGTCATAGTTGACGTGTACCTATGATGAAAATTACAGGCCTCTCTCATCTTTTTAAGTGGGAGAACTTGCACAATTGGTGGCTGACTGAATACTTTTTTTCCCCACTGTATGTCAATAACTCATTTTTGACCAACATTTCTGATAGAAACCTTATAGTCCCAAGGTCTGGCGATGCATGACACTCAATAGTCATGTCTAGTTTATTGTAACACTATAATTTTACAGCTGAAGAGGTGCCTTGATAACCCACATCCACTAAAGGACCCACGTCCAACATACAGTATTATAGCTTACAGTCTATAGCTACATCAAAACAGAAGATAGTATGTGTGTCTGTCTTGTTCATTTAAGTGTTTCACTTGACTATGTTTACCCTTTCAGACTTCATGACTGATTTATCAATTCATTTGTTATCTTGATAATTCTCACATATCCCATCTTCATGTATTTCTTATCTTGTAGTCATAGAAATGACCGGATTGCTAAACGTCATTATGATGATAATAATATGATGATTACCTATTTATTTTCTGGATGTAAGATAGCTAATAGGCATAATCTATTTTCAAATAACAAATAAAAGTCACCTCATGATCACTTATCTATCTGGTAATATACTCAAACGAATGCAAATTAATGAAAGGTCATTTGCCCTTGGCCTGGTAAATGTGCTTTTGTTATACAAGGGGAGAGAAGTTCACCAAATCTAACTGCTGCACCTAATTGCTGCATCCAAATCATATACCCCAGCAGTATACTGTATGTACCACAATTACGACCCTGGTTCAAAGCCAGTATTGGGGTCATGGTTTGGTTTGAGAAGGACACATAGAGAATGTGACCTATTTACTTACAGCTGACAAGCAAAATATAGTGGGAGTTTTTATCAGTTGTGAAAGTTGTTATATCACATACGTTAAGTGTGTGACTACTGTATACCAATGCTTTTCTAACAATGCCTTGTGTGTGTGCGTGTGTGTGCGGGTGCGGGTGTCAGAGAAAGTGAGAACGGCCAATTCTGTGAAGAGGTCAATGTAGTCAACATAAGTGGTGTATGATCCTCGGTTCAGTGATCCTCCTCTACACTTTACAGGTCAAAGACCTCATTACAGCTCAACTTCTTTCATTTTGGAGATATGGCTGTGCAACAGGCAACAAATTGCTAAACGTATGGGGCAATGGCTAAATGAGTGTGTTTAACTCCCAATCTAGTGATATATATGTAATGTATTGTGCTTCGGTTGAAACTGAATGTTCCCCCTGCTGTTATACATGGTATTGTATTGCATAACTGACAGATCGTTTGTATCCTTGTGTGTGTGTGGTTGTGTTTTTTAATAAACAAAGGATATCTCTTTTTAACATGTTGGCTACAATAAATGTCAGTTGAATAATGCTATCAATAAAATGAATCCATTTTGCTACATACTAGTGTGACGTGCCCTTAATAATACTTTGTGGGATTGACAAAGAATATCAGTGTGAGATACACTACATGACCAAAAGTATGTGGACACCTGCTCGTCGAACATCTCATTCCAAAATCATGGGCATTAATATGGAGTTGGTCCCTTCTTTGCTGCTATAACAGCCTCCACTCTTCTGGGAAGGCTTTCCCCTAGATGTTGGAACATTGCTGCGGGAACTTGCTTTCATTCAGCCACAAGAGCATTAGTGAGGTCGGGCACTGATGTTGGGCGATTAGGCCTGGCTCGCAGTCAGTGTTCCAATTCATCCCAAATGTGTTCGATGGGGTTGAGGTCAGGGCTCTGTGCAGGCCAGTCAAGCCAGTCATGGACCTCGCTTTGTGCACGTTGGCATTATCATGCTGAAACAGGAAAGCGCCTTCCCCAAACTGTTGCCACAAAGTTGGAAACATAGAATCGTTAGAATGTCATTGTATGCTGTATTGTTAAGATTTCCCTGCACTGGAACTAAGGGGCCTAGCCCGAACCATGAAAAACAGCCCCAGACCATTATTCCTCCTCCACCAAACTTTACAGTTGGCCCTATGCATTGGGGCAGTTGCCAGGTGGTGAAGCTTGATTCAACACTCCAGAGAACGTGTTTCCACTGCTCCAGAATCCAATGGCATCTTTACACCCCTCCAGCCGATGCTTGGCATTGCGCATGGTGATCTTAGGCTTGTGTGCGGCTGCTCGGCCATGGAAACCCATTTCATGAAGCTCCTGACGAACAGTCCTTGTGCTGACGTTGCTTCCAGAGGCAGTTTGGAAGTTGGTAGTGAGAGTTGCAGCCGAGGACACATGATTTTTACACGCTACGCGCTTCAGCGCTCGGCGGTCCCGTTCTGTGAACTTGTGTTCAGTTTTTGTATTTTTAATAAATTAGCAAACATTTATACAAACCTGTTTTTGCTTCGTAATTTTGGGGTATTGTGTGTAGATTGATGCGGGAAAAAAACAATTTAATCCATTTCAGAGTAAGGTTGTAACGTAACAAAATGTGGAAAAAGTCAAGGGGTCTAAATACTTTCCGAATGCACTGTATTTTTGTGTAGTTTCCAAAGATACAGACAATGTCAAACATTGGGGGGACTAAGGTGTACGAGAATGCATCTAAAAGGCAAACTGGGCAGTCAATCCATCAACAAGGCACTCTACAGTGTAGGTCATCAGATGAGGGAAACATATTTCCTGCTGCTAGAGTGCTATGTCTTACGCTGAATCCTTTCCCAGTCTGTCACTGTGGTGAGAAATTAGATATATCTTTTTGGGAGTATGCAGTAAGTGAGGGAACACATCAAAGCAAGTTTCAATAATGTTTGGGGTAAGAAAAGTGGGACGTCTGTGCCCAAGTTGTGTACTTTCAAAATGAGATGGTTACTGCAATGGGTAAAGTAGGCCCTTCTGTGAGTGATGAATAGTCACGCAACTTTGCACAATAGGTGTGTCTCCTGTGAATCTATCAGTGGGGACAGGGGACAGTTTCCCCTGAGATTGACTGGCCTAAAGACGGTTTCAGTCTGTCAGCTATGTCTGCCGCTGTGGGTGATGTTATCCCTGCCTGATTACTACTGTGCCTCAGATGCTTAACAGTGGGATGGGAGGCTCAGACTAGTCCCTGAGTAGCCTACATCCAGTCCCTCGTTCGGAAAAGAGATTTACAGACAAAAAAAGTTTTACACCAATTTATTTTCTTCTGCTTCCTTTTCTTTGAAACGGAGAGGTGGCGAGAGTTCACTTTTATCAGCTAGGCCTGAGGGATTTGAGTTAAGCAATGGTGGTGGCATACTGTGGAACAAATACCTTATACTTATGTAGCAGAGGTAGTTTCCCAGCTAGTATAGCTTTGAGCAATATTGGCACCTACTGTAACTACTTAGTGATGCAATACACAACACTTGCTGGGAGAATCCAAAATTAGGGATTTCAGCTTTAGTGTATTCAACCAACCAACAAATAGTCACATCCTTACAGTACATGCTGTATATCATATCTAGTTAAATGGAGGCTGGAGCCGGACATATTAGTGCTAATTGGTGGATTTGCTACACATAGCAGAGTCAGCACTGTGTTGGATTTACATATGAACAAATTTGCCAATGAATAATTAAAGAGTTGAGGTTGAGCCTCTGCTGCTCCTTCTGACACACAGAGAATATTAACCAGGTCCCCTACAGAGAGGAGTCAAGCTGCTGTAGCATTCTACACTGTACGTCCTAGAACTATGAAAGGGTTCAATCATGTCTGATGACTGACCTGCAATACATTATCCTTCTGATGCCCTGAGAGTTGTCAATGTCAACTAACACGTATGTTGTAAACTAATGGTTTATGAAGGCTACAGTGTTTACAGATCTCCATGTAAAACTATTGCACTGCTCCACTGCCTTAGTCCTCCTGCCTTTGCCAAACCCAATGACATGAATGTCCATTAATAATGAACACACGACAGGCAGTAATGTGGCCACCCTGTGGGTGGAGACATCTGTTGCGGTGGGTTTAACCCCGCCATGGAAAATTGGACATTTAGGAAGCAGCTGGACAACCACTCTGCCCCGCTGTGCCACTACCCCTGTGCCCCTGGCAAGGAGCCACCACCGGCAAGGGGTCACTGGACCAAAGCCTGCCAGATGGTGCCCTTGCAAATGTGTTACCAGCCACTCCGGACAACCCATGCACGCACACGTAGACACACATATATGCATGCTCGCACACACACACTAATTGCAGTTAGGCACAAGTTCACAGAAGCCTGTAATCTTTTGACAGGTATCTTTTGACAGGTCAAAAGTTGAGAGAGAGAGAGAGAGAGCGAGAGAGAGGTGTTTGTTAATGTAAGCAGCTGCGGCTTGAGAAACTCAGGGAATTAGCTGGTTAGTCAGAGACTACTCCCTCCGGAGGAATATAAAGTCTTCTTTAGGCACAACTCATTCCTCCCAGCCAGCCCGTAAATTGATATGCTAATTATATAAGGGGTTTTAAGTGCTGTACTCTGAATCATACAAGTGTTACCATTACTTCTGGAGATGCAGGAAACACCCGGAACAATACAAATGAGATGTGTATTGAACAAATGAGAGCTCTCAATCAAATCCAGTACTCAATCAAGTACTGCGTGTGTATTAGCAGAGTAACAAACCCTCAAAGTCCTAAATTTCAAACACCAGTCAAAATCAGACCAATGTTGATGGTCCTTGATCCCGGGCTTGACTACTGCACTATACTATATATTATTTGTAAGTGTTTTTATTGAGTTTTATTGCATATTTCTGGTGGTTTTGACCCACAGATTTGTAGATGGACTGGCAGGTCAACTATTTTTGGCTTGGCTAGCTAGCTAGCTAGCTGGCTCATTGTTTTTGTTTGAATGCTGCATCTGGAAACTGTACCAGCTTTTTTGTTTCACCTGGCTGCTAGTTCCTGGTCTTTTAAAAACATCAATTGAAGAGTCGCCTGAAGCTTGAGAGGAATGGGAGCTGCAGTAAAGGAATGCAGTTCTGAGGCAGAGGGCTCATAGTGAGGACGACTGGCTACTATTCTGAACTGTGTGTGGTGAGCTTTCTGGCCCAGAGCTGCTGAGGCATCACCCAAGTGGGTGCTACACATTGTGAAGGAGGAGAAGTCGAGTAGCTACATGACTCAGGGTAGCCCTCTACATGTTCATCACTAGAATCTTCATTACATTTACATTTTAGCCATTTAGCAGACACTCTTATCCAGAGCGACTTACAGTTATTGAGTGCATACATTTTCATACTGGCCCCCCGTGGGAATCGAACCCACAACCCTGGCATTGCAAGCTGAGCTACACGCCATGCTCCCTGACCACCTTCTGATCAAGCCATGAACTGTCCCTCTCCATCTTTGGAGGATAAACTCAAAGACAGCCTCTATTGGTTGACCTAACTACAGCTAGGCTACTCATGATGATGTATTGCTTATTTGTTTTTTGCTTTTGAAGCGCTTTGAGATTCTTATGAAAAGTGCTATAGAATTGTTATACATTATTATTATTATTACTATGTAATCACCACCACCATGTACCCAGGCAGCAGTGTAGACAGAGGAAGCCCACCAGCACAATGAAGGAATAATAGATGTGAAAGGTCAGCCTTGATGCTGTGATTGCTGGTGTCACATCCAGGATGAGCTCTACTCTCCTTTAACACGCTTTCAAGCATACATATGTTTTGACAGGACCTCACTCTCACCTCACTGTCCTCATCACAGCAAGTGGGGAGGTCTGGGAAGGCAAAGTTCAAGCGGTTTGTCATGATCTGTGTTGATTGAAGATTCAGGTCAAGGAGACCTGGGAGGTGGAGTTTTTGACATCATTATGACCACAGAATGTGTAGTGAGGGTAATGCCTGGAATCAAATGGATATCAAAGTTCTAGATAAGTAACACCAAAATGTCATGAAAAAAGACCAGCTCAAACAAGCTCAATTAATGTAAATGGAAATACTTTATTTCACCATTACACGATAACAAGCCTTGAAATAAAGACAAAATGGAAAGTAATGCTACAGAGGACCACAAAATATAGACAACTTTCATAATGTGGCAAATAAAAATTAAGACTAACACGATCACTACCTAGGATATCATTTAGAGATTAAAAGAGTTTAGAAATCAGCTAAACGTTTCTACGATGAGCACAGTCATGCCAGCATAATAGTATTTTACAGCGTCATGTTGCAGATGATTCGGGGGTGTTCCTCAATGCACACGAGTCACCCTGATTGGTGAGGCTGAACACAGAGAGGGGGCTTGTGGGAAGGACTACTGTAGTTCATCATCTGTGTTCTATGATACATGTTTGTATTTGGTATAAAGAAGTTGGGCAGGAGGGTGGAAAATGCAGGTTGTTTTTACATGGATATCAATGTACAGGTGGTGCCTTCAGAGCTTCAGGAACTAAAGGCACATGGGGTCCACTGAGCAACAGATATGTCCATTCTGAAAGAGGGGGACGAGAGAGACTTTAGAGTGAGTCACTGTTAGAATTCAACCATAATACAGTTCTTCTCTTTGAATTTTCTCTACTTCAGAATGAGCTATTTCTATTTTTCTCACTGAAAGGCAGACTTGGTCTGACATTTAGAATTTCGATACTCATGGAGAGTTTGGTACCAACATGGAGGATAGTTGGCTTAAGTCTACATAGATATAATTATTATCCATGGCTGTTACCTTGCACTGACAGAGGGTGCACTCAGTGCCGTGTTTGATCCAGGAGGAGCCGCTGAAGCGCTGGATGCCGTGCTCGTCCGTGCACGTCTTGGTGATGTCGTTGCGGATGGTGTCGGCCTGGCAGGGGTCGATGATGCAGCGGGCACAGCACTCGCCTTCGGGCACCACCGTGAACTCACAGTCCACTGGCGGGCACGACAGGGGCCAGCAGTCCACCTGACCCTGCTGTGGGAGAGACAGACAGATAGACTGGAGTCATATCACTGGGACAGGGATAGACAATATTATATACAGTCAATTATCCCTACAATTGAATAGTTCGTGTCCCTTGTCAAATATTTCAGTATACTTACAGTGAGGGAAAAAAGTATTTGATCCCCTGCTGATTTTGTACGTTTGCCCACTGACAAAGACATGATCAGTCTATAATTTTAATGGTAGGTTTATTTGAACAGTGAGAGACAGAATAACAACAAAAAAATCCAGAAAAACACATGTTATAAATTGATTTCCATTTTAATGAGGGAAATAAGTATTTGACCCCTCTGCAAAACATGACTTGGTGGCAAAACCCTTGTTGGCAATCACAGATGTCAGACGTTTCTTGTAGTTGCTCACCAGGTTTGCACACATCTCAGGAGGGATTTTGTTCCACTCCCCTTTGCAGATCTTCTCCAAGTCATTAAGGTTTTGAGGCTGACGTTTGGCAACTCGAACCTTCAGCTCCCTCCACAGATTTTCTATGGGATTAAGGTCTGGAGACTGGCCATGTGTTTGCATTGGCCATGTGTTTTGGGTCATTGTCATGCAGAATACCCATCCACGACCAATTTTCAATGCCCTGGCTGAGGGAAGGAGGTTCTCACCCAAAATTTGACGGTACATGGCCCCGTCCATCGTCCCTTTGATGCGGTGAAGTTGTCCTGTCCCCTTAGCAGAAAAACACCCCCAAAGCATAACGTTTCCACCTCCATGTTTGACATTTACATTTGACATTTTAGTCATTTAGCAGACGCTCTTATCCAGAGCGTCTTACAGTTAGTGAAAACATTTTTATTTTTATTTTTATAATGGCCCCCGGTGGGAATCGAACCCACAACCCTGGCGTTGCAAACGCCATGCTCTATCAACTGAGCTACATCCCTGCCGGCCATTCCCTCCCCTACCCTGGACGACCCTGGGCCAATTGTGCGCCGCCCATGAGACTCCCGGTCGCGGCCGGCTGCGACAGAGCCTGGATTCGAACCAGGATCTCTAGTGGCACAGTTAGCACTGCGATGCAGTGCCTTAGACCACACTCAGTTTGACGGTGGGGATGGTGTTCTTGGTGTCATAGGCAGCATTCCTCCTCCTCCAAACAAGGCGAGTTGAGTTGATGCCAAAGAGCTCCATTTTGGTCTCATCTGACCACAACACTTTCACCCAGTTCTCCTCTGAATCATTCAGAAGTTCATTGGCAAACTTCAGACGGGCCTGTATATGTGCTTTCTTGAGCAGGGGGACCTTGCGGGCGCTGCAGGATTTCAGTCCTTCACGGCGTAGTGTGTTACCAATTGTTTTCTTGGTGACTATGGTCCCAGCTGCCTTGAGATCATTGATAATATCCTCCCGTGTAGTTCTGGGCTGATTGCTCACCGTTCTCATGATCATTGCAACTCCACGAGGTGAGATCTTGCATGGAGCTCCAGGCCGAGGGTTTCTTCCATTTGCGAATAATCGTACCAACTGTTGTCACCTTCTCACCAAGCTGCTTGGCGATGGTCTTGTAGCCCATTCCAGCCTTGTGTAGGTCTACAATCTTGTCCTTGACAGCCTTGGAGAGCTCTTTGGTCTTGGCCATGGTGGAGAGTTTGGAATCTGATTGATTGATTGCTCGTTACCTGTATAAAAGACACCTGGGAGCCAGAAATCTTTCTGATTGAGAAGGGGTCAAATACTTATTTCCCTCATTAAAATGCAAATCAATTTATAACATGGATTTTTTTGTTGTTATTCTGTCTCTCACTGTTCAAATAAACCTACCATTAAAATTATAGGCTGATCATTTCTTTGTCAGTGGGCAAACGTACAAAATCAGCAGGGGATCAAATACTTTGATCAAGAAATGCGTCAAGAAATGATAATGTAAAGATAGAGATATACAATAGGAGGACAACATTTTTATCTATAGGACTAAGGAATTGTCATTGCATAGAAGTAGCAGTATGAGTAGTAGTAGAAGAAAGAAATGTTCCAACTTTCTAGTCTCCCGATGGAGTAGCGTCTTCTCCGGACAAGGTGTTTTCCTGATTACCCAAACAATCGGAAAGGGGATTCATCAGAGAAAATGACTTTACCCCAGTCCTCAGCAGTCCAATCCGTGTACCTTTTGCAGAATATCAGTCTGTCCCTGATGTTTTTCCTGGAGAGAAGTTGCTTCTTTGCTGCCCTTCGTGACACCAGGCCATCCTCCAAAAGTCTTCGCCTCACTGTGCGTGCAGATGCACTCACACCTGCCTGCTGCCATTCCTGAGCAAGCTCTGCACTGGTGGTGCCCTGATCCCGCAACTGAATCAACTTTAGGAGACGGTCCTGGCGCTTGCTGGACTTTCTTGGGCGCCCTGACGCCTTCTTCACAACAATTGAACCTCTCTCCTCGAAGTTCTTGATGATCCGATTTTTTATTTATTTAGGTGCAATCTTACTAGCAGCAATATCCTTGCCTGTGAAGCCCTTTTTGTGCAAAGCAATGATGACGGCACGTGTTTCCTTGCAGGTAACCATGGTTAACAGAGGAAGAACAATGATTTCAAGCACCACCCTCCTTTTAAAGCTTCCAGTCTGTTATTCTAACTCAATCAGCATGACAGAGTGATCTCCAGCCTTGTCCTCGTCAACACTTTCACCTGTGTTAACGAGAGAATCACTGACATGATGGCATCTGATCACTTTTCATGACTTTCTGGAGTATATGCAAATTGCCATCATCAAAACTGAGACAGCAGACTTTGTGAAAATTAGTATTTGTGTCATTCTCAAAACTTTTGACCACGACTGTATATACAAAGGTATGTGGACATCCCTTCAAATTAGTGGATTTGGCTATTTCAGCCACACCCGTTGTTGACAGGTGTATAAAATCGAGCACACAGCCATGTAATCTCCATAGACAAACATTGGCAGTAGAATGGCCTTACTGAAGAGCTCAGTGACTTTCAATGTGACATCGTCATAGGATGTCACCTTTCCAGCAAGTTAGTTAGTCAAATTTCTGCCATGCTAGAGCTGCCCCAGTCAATTGTAAGTGCTGTTATTGTGAAGTGGAAATGTCTAGGAGCAACAACGGCTCAGCTGCGAAGTGGTAGGCCACACAAGCTCACAGAAAGGGAGCGCAAAATAGTTTGTCTTCGGTTGCAACTCTCACTACAGAGTTCCAAACTGCCTCTGGAAGCAACATCAGCACAAGAACTGTTCTTTGGGAGCTTCATGAAATGGGTTTGTATGGCCGAGCAGCCGCACTCAAGCCTAAGATCACCATGCATAATGCCAAGTGTCGGCTGGAGTGGTGTAAAGCTCGCCGCCATTGGACTCTGGAGCAGTGGAAACACGTTCTCTGGAGTGATGAATCACGCTTCACCATCTGGCAGTCCGACGTAAGAATCTGGGTTTGGTGGATGCCAGGAGAATGCTACCTGCCCCAATGTATAGTGCCAACTGTAAAGTTTGGTGGAGGATGAATAATAGTCTGGGGCTGTTTTTCATGATTCGGGCTAGGCCTCTTAGTTCCAGTGAAGCGAAATCTTAACACTACAGCATACAATGACATTCTAGACGATTCTTTGCTTCCAACTTTGTGGCAACAGTTTGGGGAAGGCCCTTTCCTGTTTCAGCATGACAATGCCCTCGTGCACAAAGTGAGGTCCATACATAAATGGTTTGTCGAGATCAGTGTGGAAGAACTTGACCAGCCTGCACAGAGCCCTGACCTTAACCCCATCGAACACCTTTGGGATGAATTGGAACGCCGACCGCGAGCGAGGCCTAATCCGTGCCAGACCTCACTAATGCTGCTAGTAGAAAGCCTTCCCAGAAGAGTGGAGGCTGTTATAGCAGCAAAGAAGGGACCAACTCCATATTAATGCCCATGATTTTGGAATGAGATATTCGACAAGCAAGTGTCCACATACTTTTGGTCATGTAGTGTATCTCTATATTGTGCGTGAGAACACTTTGGAACAGATTTCCAAAATTAAAATCACTTGGAGCTTTCCAGTTTTTTATGTCCAACAATAATAATACAAATATTATTAGTTTTTTTGCTCCGAAAACTTGGGGGGGGCAAATAAAATCACCTGCGGGCCGGGCCGCCAGCTGGAGATCCCTGCCTTATTGGATTTCTCCAGCAGCCGTTTCAATAAGCCAGTGAATACAGGTCATAATGCTGGTGAACTTTCTAGATCCTGTCTAAGATATGATTCCGCATCACCCAGTTCTGCTAACATTTTCATCCCTGAAGTGAGTGGTTTATACCTCCTTGGAAAATGGAAAATCAGCATACACAAGAAAAACACACGCACACGCACACACACACAAACACACACAAACACACAGAAACTCAAAACTGCTTATGAGTTTAGCTTGCTGTAAGTCTACCATCGGGATATTTAATATCCCTGAAAATCAGCTAGCTCTGCATTTTAGTGATATTGTAGTAAATTAGTGGGGCTATAAAATACAGGCCCATGATGTGCTAATGTGTGCTCCCTGCCTTCATTTAGTGAGTAAACATTTTAAGTGTGGTTCCCCTGGAGCAGAACTCTTTCCCCATTGCCAGAAGCAGTGGGTATAGCTTTAGACTATAGGTTTCCATTACACAATATGGATGTCATTTAATCACCTCACTGAAATCTCTTTCTCTTTTTTAAACTTTCTCTAGATCAGAAACTAATTTCTTCAATCTTTCCTTTTCTAGTTCAAGACCAGTATTATGAATCTCAGTACACATCACAGAGTCCGTCAAAAAAACATCTGTGAGAATTACATTTACTGGTGACATTTGGTTTAGTGAGCCTTGCCAGAGAGTTGCCTTGGCTAGACAACAGCGTGGCCAACAACAACCATGTTTCATGCCTCCAGATCTATGGCTAAAAGAGTATCCTATACCCATAGCATTCTATACCTATAGTAGCAAGTCAGAGATGCACTACATGACCAAAAGTATGTGGATACCTGCTCGTCGAACATATCATTCCAAAATCATGGGCATTAATATGGAGTTGGTCTCCCCTTTGCTGCTATAACAGCCTCCACTCTTCTGGGAAGGCTTTCCACTAGATGTTGGAACATTGCTGCGGGGACTTGCTTCCATTCAGCCACAAGAGCATTAGTGAGGTCGGGCACTGATGTTGGGCAATTAGGCCTGGCTCGCAGTCGGCGTTCCAATTCATCCCAAAGGTGTTCGATGGGTTGAGGTCAGGGCTCTGTGCAGGCCAGTCAATTTCTTCCACACCGATCTCGGCAAACCATTTCTGTATGGACCTCACTTTGTGCACGAGGGCATTGTCATGCTGAAACAGGAAAGGGCCTTCCCCAAACTGTTGCCACAAAGTTGGAAGCACAGAATCGTCTAGAATGTCATTGTATGCTGTAGTGTTAAGATTTCGCTTCACTGGAACTAAGAGGCCTAGCCCGAATCATGAAAAACAGCCCCAGACTATTATTCATCCTCCACCAAACTTTACAGTTGGCACTATACATTGGGGCAGGTAGCATTCTCCTGGCATCCACCAAACCCAGATTCTTACGTCGGACTGCCAGATGGTGAAGCGTGATTCATCACTCCAGAGAACGTGTTTCCACTGCTCCAGAGTCCAATGGCGGCGAGCTTTACACCACTCCAGCCGACACTTGGCATTGTGCATGGTGATCTTAGGCTTGAGTGCGGCTGCTCGGCCCTGGAAACCCATTTCATGAAGCTCCCAACTAACAGTTATTGTGCTGACATTACTTCCAGTGGCAGTTTGGAACTTGGTAAAAGCTGGTTTGTATCTTTGTATAAGATTCTAAGCTTGTTCGTTTTCCTGCTGAGCGGAGCCCGTATGGTTCTGGCTCTGCTAACTGTGGAGGCATTCAAGGTTCATTTCACGTCCCTGTCATGCTACTGGATCCCACGCTTATCTCTACGCAGCATTCTCCTCCACTCCTCTCTTTCAAGTGCTGCTGTTTATACCATTCTGGCTGGTGGCTGTGTGTGTGCAACGTAATGTGTGTGTGAGTGCATGCATGCGTGCGCGTGTGTGTGGGTGCGTGCATACGTGAATGCCTGCCTCGGGGAGAGAGAGAGAGAGAGAGAGAGAGAGAGAGAGAGAGCAGCCTGCATCTACCTGCCTCTCCAACACTTTTTCAGCCCTATAATGGCCTGCTGTAAGTAATCCACCCAAGGCCCTTAAGGACAGCATCACAATGGGAGAAGGAAACACAATTATGCTGCCTGGTACTCTACTTATGGATCTGACTTATGCTGTTTTTCGACTGTGACACCAGTGTATACACCCTTATGTTATACTAGGGAAATTGTGTTTCCATAGCTAGGGCTGACAGTGAGGACTTGTGATGGGGAAAATCAACAACCTCTGTATAATCAAAACAGTTGATTTGTGACAAGGTGTTAAAGTTCACAGTTAGACATTGTGATGTAAATGCCAGCTGAAAAGTACCAGTGGCGTGGATTTGGCCCCAAGTGAGAGCAGGTCTGCCGGAGCTATGGCCCAGTAGATGGAAACAGAAAAGTCTGAGCCTTTTGGGTAAAACACTGGGGTAATTCCTGTATGGAAATGCGCCATTGGTGTCCCTGTATTCATATGCTAATCACAGAAGGAGAGTGATGTGGGAAGGCTGTCTGTGTGTCTGTTCTACAACATTCTGTTTGATCTGAGGGAAGAAATAACCAAGAGTAATGCCACTACTCAGAGGGGACGGGCGGGCGGGAGAGAGAGAGAGAGCGCTGACAGAACGATGATTTGTGGATCGACGCAAAGGCATAGTGACACAAATGCAGCTAAGTGTTACTTCTCTTCGGGAGCAGAATGACCAGGTAGAATGCCAACCGTGACATTTGCATTTAATAAAAATATAGCTGGTTGTAAAGTGCATCTGAAAGGCGTATCGGAGGCGGTAGCTTGTGATGTTCTGTCAGATTTAGTGTGAAATCCTCGTAAAAAAGCCTTCCTGTTGTTTGAACAGCAGGGATGCGGGAACCTTGGAAAAGGTCGGCACAGTGGAGAGAGTCGATGCAAACAGTGCATATTTCTTCACGGAAGATTCAATAGAGAACGTTCTTGACATGTCATAATTCTGTTTTATATATTGCCAGGACAAGCTAACAAGCTTATCCACAACACTTCTCAGAGGCCACCCACTGTGTGGACACAGAGACCTGCACATGCACGCACACACACACCTTTACTATTCCCTTGGCCACCACGCTGATGTCCAGTATCTCCCATACATTAATCACTAAAGAAGAGTCCAGTAAGTGTGTCCTATCTCTTTATAGGCTGTGTATTGTTGGTACTTACCAGACATTGGCACTGCTGGCAGTTCTCCACCCAGGAGTCTCCACTGCCGTAGGTCAGCAGGCCATTCTGGTGCAGACACTGGCTGCTGAGGCGAGGGTCACACTCTGGACAGCAGAACAGGTCAGCTGTGGGGTTCTCACAGTCACACACCATTCTCCTGCACATCACCTGGCCAGTCTGCACAGAGGGGTGGGCAGATGCATGGTCTATCAATCGACACTTGACTCAAGTACAGTCTCAAAGTACTGTTCTGTATGTAAGTAACTGTCTTGAGCTCTATAACCCACATTCAATATTTGCTAGTTGACCTTGGTTATTGGTTAATTACACACACTCAAAATTACCATTGCTCTCTACTAGCTGACCGTGACCATTCCAAAACAACAACATGTTTACGCTCTCTGTTCACTCAGCCGTTCAATACTGCTAATTCTGACAGGCAGGTTCTCAATTTCTCCAATCAATTAAAATGACTTGTTTCATTAAAGCTTCATTTCTGCCCTCCTCCTCTGTAATCAAATTAATATTGTGATGCTTGATCGTTCAATACCCTTACTAATCTTCTATAATCACCTGCTAGCATTGCCAGACACTATCAAAAATGAAACGCTAAATTACTAAATGTTTCAAGACTGTAGCCGTAGAATCATGAGGAAAAATATGTTTTTTGTTTTGTTTATTTAAAACCAAGTTTTCCAAACAACTGGTAGATGCATTTACATTTTCAGACCTCTGCGTTAAACATATCAAACTGAATTGATAACCAATCATCATATTGCTTTACAGCAACCAAAAGAACACCGCTAATCTGACCATTGATTGTTTTATACCCATCATCCTCTTTGTCTCACCTGACAGGAGCAGACGGAGCACCTATCGTTGTCCAGCACCCAGATCTGTCTGTTGTGTTTGACTTTGTTGTCATGGATACAGTCTCCGGTGCAGTTCCTCCCGTGGGGGCACCTGCAGTCATAGCCCCCCTCCAAGTTGAAGCACACCGTGTCATTGGCACAGGTGTTCCTCCCCATCTTGCATTCGTTGATATCTGTAGGGAGCAAGAGAGATGACTTCACGCATATGCTCAACACAGGTCAAATTCTGTAGTTTATGCATAAATCCACACATCTTACTGCTTAAAAAAGACAAAGGAATCCAAACTATAGTTTTTTGGGGTCAAATTATAACTCAGAGCAGTTGTCTTTGTTCTTTACAGTATGTTGAGCTCTCTGAGAGTCTCTTAAAAGGGAAAGTTTACCTAAAATAAAAAAATAGCCAAAGTGATTCCATAAATTGAAACTAGTTAGGTGGAGTTTGCCTTCTCCCCCTCTCTCCTACAGTCTAGAACTGGAAAGCTGCAAAAACGGGTCACGTGACTCATGACGTGTCTTTGTGCACTTTGTGCACTCATGACGTGTCTCTGTTGTCAGTCAAAGAGCGATTGAGAAATCCGCAAATTGTGGATAAATTCTTTGTTTTATTGAAAGCATATGGCCAAATGAACTACTTTTATCAAAAGTACTATTGGTTTTGAGTCAGGAAATGTGTACTTTTCCACATAAAATGATTGCGATTATTTTATATCATTATTTTATGTGGCCGACTGCAACAACAGCAGATGTGGGAAACAACTGCGAATGTGAGCTCTCGTGGGGCAACTCTATGACGTATATGTCGTTATTTGGAGCTTGATGTCACGTGTGACTTTTATGGGAGGGAGAAGGAGCAGGTGCAAAAGTTGAAAGATGTAGCCTAAAGGTAGTTCTGAAAAGTGGAAATCCGAAGAGATGGCATCAAGAGCAAGCTGGTGTTCTGTCCCTGGCTGCACATTATATAGGAAATCTAGGAAAGAAGGCACAACATTTCACTGCTTTCCATTGAAAGATACAGACAGATGCAGAAGATGGCTAGTAGCGATAAAAAACAGGAAATATGATGTAAACACTCCTACAGCCACCTGTGTGAAGCTAGCCACAATAATAAATAAATGATTGTCTTTTGTTTAATTTAAACAACAACATTCCCACCTTATTTAGCATTATCGAGTCCAAATATGGCATGATTCCACTATTTGTATCTGTTTTAATCACTTTCAATGGAGGACTTTTATTTTAAAGGTGAACCGCAAATTCCCCTATTGTGGCTAATCCTTATTGTGGCTAGCTTCACACACGTCCTTTGAGAAGAGACAGCGACAAAGCGAGAGTGCGAAGGTATGTAGTCTAATCATTGCATTTCGAGTTGATCTTATTGTGTTGTAGCCTAAGCGCTCTACCGGTTAGCATATGTTGAGGAGCTAGACAGTAATTGTGTCACCTTACATTGTAATAGACAGTCATTCTTACTTTTTAACTCTGCATTGTTGGGAAAGGCCTCGTAAGTAAGCATTTTATGGTAAAAGCTATACCTGATGTATTCGGCGCATGTGACAAATACAATTTTATTTTATTTTATTGCGTCATCTTACATCGAAGAATAGACAGAATAGTGGCCATGAGTATCCTAACAATATAATTACTTTTAGCCCCATAGTCCCGAGTTGCGCAGTGGTCTAAGGCACTGCATCTCAGTGCTTGAGGCGTCACTACAGACCCCCTGGTTCGATTCCAGGCTGTATCACAACCGGCTGTGATTGGGAGTCCATAGGGCGGCGCACAATTGGCCCAGTGTCGTCCGGTTTTGGCTGGTGTAGGCCGTCATTGTAAATAAGAATTTGTTCTTAACTGACTTGCCTAGTTAAATAAAGGTAAAATAAATAAATAGCCATAAAACATTTATTACAGATTATAAGCATCAGAGGCCCTCCAGTAGTTTTCTTCATCACTCGTGATTATATGTTTGTAGGTTGCTGTTTTACTTCATATAACTCATTTGTAACGCTAGGCTACTGTCTTCACTTCTCCCCCGAAATAAAATCGCTCCACTTAACTAGTTTCAATGTATGGACTTACAACATTTTGGATTTTAGGTAAACTTCCCCTTTAACGTGCTCTTCCACTGGCCACACACTGGTTGAATCAACGTTGTTTCCATGGAATCAACAGACGTTGAATTGACGTCTGTGCCCAGTGGGCTGTGTTGATCAGGTAGACTTGACAGGTAAAATGAGGCTATATAGTAGACAGACAGACAGAGCTGCAGCACTGTTACTGCTGAGGCGCACTGCTAGATTGAGGGTTTTCTTCCATTTTGACATGTGACAAGCTCTTGACAGGTTGCTTTAGAGAATGTTTCAGAAAGATTCAATGAGCAGTAAAAAGCAGACAGGGATTTGGAGGAAAGTGTACCAGTAATTGTTTGTCCAATCATACTATTACCCACACCAGACAGCAAACAAATTGTCAAAAGAAGGCCAAGGAAATGTCTATCTCTGCAATAGTTAGATGTGCTGCTATGATCAATGTTAGAATACACTAGAATAATGGAAAAACACAAACTAGTGTGCTAATATACTCTATACATGTGATTTCAATAGGTGTTAACATGTGACTAGCTGAATGAAGTTTGCCTACAACCACAGAGATTATTTTAGTATTGAGAGAAAAGGGGTGGATCAACTCACCTATGCACGACTCCCCATTGGCAGAGAACAAGCCATTGTCGTGGTAGCCATCACGACACTCGCAGTGGTACCAGCCGGGCAGGTTGACACAGATGGCTTTGTCATTACACTCCACGAACCCATCAGAACACTCATCAATGTCTATCAGGAGAGAGAGAGAGCGAGAGAGAGAGAGAGAGAGAGAGAGAGAGAGAGAGAGAGAGAGAGAGAGAGAGAGAGAGAGAGAGAGAGGAGAGAGGAGAGAGAGAGAGAGAGAGAGTGAGAATGAGAATGAGAGAGAGTGAAGGAGAAAGAGAGAGAGAGAGAGAGAGAGAGAGAGAGAGAGAGAGAAAGACCTGTAAGAACAAGACCTCGATCTCCCTATGTTTTTGTTCCGAATGATGTCAGCAGGAACCACATATTGAACTTAGCTTCATTCTTGCCTGATAGGCTTTTTCAACATTGACTTATCCATAATTGATACAAAAGCGTGTCCAGGATTTGATAGGATATGCACGCTGTATTGATCTGGCAAGAAAACACAGCGAGAGATGGGTACATTCATTGTAATGAATCTTACATATTTATTTGATTTTGTTTCATTATAATACAAAACAAATTTCCCCTGAAGAGGGGTGTAAAAACCCTTGGAAGACCTTGGAAGCTTGTGAATCCATACTTGTTGTAGATCTCATTGACAGTAAAGAGCACAGGAACCATGCCTCAACCTTGACTCAGATTCTGCTCTCCACAAAACAGTATTTTAACCCTCTTTCTTTCTCTCTCTCTCTCTCTCCCTCTCTTCTTTTTCTCATCACTAGCCTATTGTAAACCAATTTGTTTTTACAAACAATGACGGGAGCACCCATTTCTTACAAAGGAACGAGGTGTAAATGAATTAAACATCATCTGAATCAACTGAACCGTACGAGAAAATGCCCTAATATTTAAACAGATATTTAATTAGATGAGAGACGCTAGTGATTATGGGGTGGGGGCTAAATATGAGGGTCCAGGTTTTAGTGATTAAATGTGTCTGTGTAGGCACTGATGGCTTCTTTATGATTGTGTGCATGTGTAATGCATTATCAGAGTTCCTCATTATGAAAATGGCCCTGCACTGTCAGTGACCTTCCCATTCCATTCCCCCAGACAAAACAGAAAACAGCAGGATCCCCTGGGGAGCACAGCTCAGGCCTCCTCTCCTCCTCTTCTCCTCATTCTTTCCTCTCTTCTCTCTCCTGTCCTCTCCCTTCTTCTTGTCCTCTTCTCCTCTACTCCTTCTCTCCTCTCTTCTTCTCTCCTCTCTTCTTCTCTCCTTTCCTCCCCTCTCATCTCTCCTCGTGTCTTCTCCTTCTGCCAAACCACTAATAGGATTAAGATCTATTGGCTAATGAGCCTTCAACCCTTTAATAGAATTTCTCCAGCAGATTAACCATTGATCAAATGTCGTGGAGATTAGGCCCTTATCTATTTAAGAGATGTGAACGTTTGTCTAAGTCAAACACAGTAGGTTTTCTGTGCTCCTATACATGACGTATTTCAACATGGCTTTAAGGGAACTATAAGTATTCATGCTGGGACTCAAAAGGTGGTTAAATGTTACATGTATACAGTCCTACAGCAGGTAGAGAGATAGAGACGTCATGTTTAAGGCTTGAAGATCCATCCAAGAAGCTAGGGGATGGTGATTTTCTCCCTTCAGGAAATAAGTATTTCGGTCAACTGTGTACTGGATAAAAGCATATAATTTGGTTATACCAAAAGGAATTACTCTGCTTGAAATTAAGCATATTCTCTCTTTTCTCAGTCATAGTGAAATCTCTCATGCTCTTTGTTGCCAGTGAATTTCAGTTGTCAGAGCTTCACACGCTTTCAAATAGAGAAGCGGTATGTGATCTCGAGCCAAGAACTGGAAAAAAGCTGAATCTATTTAAAGGCCCAATGCAGCCATTTTTATATCAATATCAAATCATTTCTGGGTAACAATTAAGTATCTTACTGTAATAGATTTCCATTAAAATGGACAAAAATAGCTTTTTGGCAAAAAACTATTTCTCAAGCAAGAATTTTGCTAGGACTGTCAGGGAGTGGTCTGAGTGGGGAGGGGAAAACTGAAAACTAGCTGTTATTGGCAGAGAGGTTTGGAACTCTCTGTGTTATTGGCCTATTAACCAATTTACCGCATGTTGATGTCACCATGGAAAGCCGAAACTCCCGCCCATACAAACCTGCGCATTAGAAGGTCCTGTGAATATTGTATTTCTAACCAGCAACTATCAGGAAATAACACTGATAAAAAAATTACACTTTTATGTGTTAGTTTCAAGCAGCTGTTGTACAATATGATACAAAACACAGGAAAAACTTAATTTTGACTGCACTGGGCTTTTAAATCATAGTTTCTCCAATCTGACTGCATGAAATTGTTCACAGAAAGACAGAACGGTTAGTTACTACTTATAACCTAGAGGCAATGCAGTTCTAAATATACACAAATTGAACTATTTTCAGCGTATATTCATTCAAACTGTTCCATTGTTTAGCTTAAATGCCTAGGAGGTTACGTTTTCAATGAAACGTTTCACCCTCTACTTCCTTTATGTGACACCACGGCTGTTGATCACAATTACAGCAAAGCACTTCCGAGGCCTTTGTCAAATTGACAGTGGCTTTAAATATACCTTCTAAAAAGAAAAACACTTCTTCTTTAACTGCTTCCTGTCACATCTGAATTGAGATGTCATCACAAATGCAAAGCACATATTCACTACTACATCTTTACATTTTCAATTTACCATCAAGAGCTAAATCAACATGGTGGCTGTGTGTGAAAAGTACCTATTTTATGGTGAGAGGAAGTACATTGAATGTACACTGAGTATACCAAACATTAGGAACACATTCGTAATTTGATTTGCACCCCCCCCCTCCTCAGAGTAGCCTCAATTCATCGGGGCATGGACTCTACAAGGTGTCGAAAGCGTTCCACAGGGATGCTGGCCCATGTTGACTCAAATGCTTCCCGCAGTTGTGTCAAGTTGGCTGGATGTCCTTTCTTGATACACACAGGAAACTGTTGAGCGTGAAGAACCCAGCAGCGTTGCAGTTCTTGACACAAACCGGTGCGCCTGGCACCTACTACCATACCCTGTTCAAAAGCACTTAATTATTTTGTCTTGCCTATTCACCCTCTGAATGGCACACATACACAATCCATGCCTCAATTGTCTTGAGGCTTAAAAATCATTATTTAACCTGTCTCCTCCCCTTCATCTACACTGATTGAAGTGGATTTAACAAGTGACATCAATAAGGGATCATAGCTTTCACCTGGATTCTCCTGGTCAGTCTACATTCATGTACAGTATGTCATGGAAAGAGCAGGTTTTCTTAATGTTTTGTATACTCAGTGTATATGAAAGCGTGAGGTAGAATGACTGTGAATCCCAATAAGCAGTGGTAGTGCCTGATTCCAGTCTAAAAATCACATTATATTACAGCCTGGCCATGAATTGTATAATATTTTATGTTCAGTGAAAAACAGCAACCCACAACAGAAAGCGAAGAGTTCCATCTCTCTCTCCAAGCAGGTCAAGGCCAGGTGTGGTGAACACAGGTCTCCTTGGCTACTGAGAGAGAGAGAGTGGTGGAGACAGAGAAACAGGGGAGAGATAGGGATAAAGAGAGAGAAAGGAGAGAGAGAAAGAGGGCGAATGCGAGAGAGATGGAGAGGGATAAAGAAGTGAGAGAGAGGGGGAATAAAGAAAGAGAGTGGAAGGGAGGTGGAGAGGGCTGATTGGACAGACATGGTTATTTCTCTCGTTATGGTGAGCGACAGGCTGGAAATAAAGGCTCTATTAAAACAGCTCTCCAAGGACACTCAAATAATGGGTTGATGTCTTCCTTTCTCTTCCCTCCTTCTGCTTGTTACACTGGCATGTCGTCCTTCTGACCCTCCCTCTCCATCTCTCTCTCCCTCTCTTTTTTTTCTTCTTTCTCTCTCCTTCTCTCTCTCTATCTCTCTCTTTTCTCAATATCCCTATCTCTCTGTGCAGAGGCAGATACAGAGGTAGAGGCTATCTCCCCTCTCGTCTTGACTGACAGCAGTACCTCAGGGCCCGGACAGTCCTCTATAGCATTCTATCACCCAGAGCACCAGCTGCAGACAGAAGATCTCACATTCTGTTCAATATGATTACAATATTTCAGTTTTCACAGGGAAATGAAGGATAATCCTGATCTGCTGCTCTTGGAGTACATATTATTTATAACACGTCACTTCATAATCCTACTTCAAATATGATTCCTGTATACATGTTTTGGCATTAAATGGATTTAAAATTTGGTGTTGACATGAGAGATTACTGATCCTGGCAGTGTGTCGGGAGAATAGAGTGCTGTGTTAAAGTACTCTGTACGCACAAAGCAACCATTGTACAGTTAGTCAGTAACATCCAGTGGAGGCTGGTGGGAGGGGCTATAGGAGGACGGGCTCATTGTAATAGCTGGAATGGTTTCCATTTGTTTGATGCGTTTGATACCTTTCCACTGATTCCATTCCAGACATTACGATGAGCCCGTCCTCCTATAGCTCCTCCCACCAGCCTCCTCTGGCAACACCACAACATGGAAGATAATAAACTGAGAGTCACTTGGTAACAGGAAAAGCATGGTGAAGTGAAGTCTATAGATAGATTTCCCGTTCAGTATTTGACTGAACACTAGACTTAAAAAAAAAAAAAAAAGCTGCTAAATGTGTGAAATTAACCAATTTATTTATTTTATTCTGGTTGTGCTGGTCTGAGTGCTATGACTGTGTCGATGCTGAGAAATGATGCTAGGCTTATAGCACTGACAGATCAGCTGCTGCTGCAGAAGACAGTTCATTCGCGGTATGGAGAAAACAGAAAAAGACACACACACACACTGACACAGATTTAGCCTACTGCTGCCAGTTAATATTTTGGCTGTATATCGTATGAAATAGTAGGCTAATTAACACTCGGGGGAACACATATGACAGGCACTAACTTGCAATAGCCAAAAAAAATTGCTGCTTCCCCAATCAAAAGCCCTGGATTAACACTTACCTAAAGAGCAGGGCTATTGCACACAAAGCTATCGTAGACCACCCTGTTGCTACGGCCGAAGACAGGAATAAGTACAAGAAGGCCTGCTATGACCTCCGCAGAGTCATCAAACGAGCAAAAGGACAATATAGGAATAAGGTGGAATCATATTACACAGGCTCCGACTCCCGCCGCATGTGGCAGGGGCTACAGTCCATTACGGATTACAAAGGAAGACCCAGCCATGATCTGACCAACGATGCCTCTCTACCAGACGAACTCAATGCATTTTATTCCGCTTTGACAACAGCAACATCGAGCTGGGTGTGAGGGCCGTCACCGACCCAGAGGACTGGGTGATCTCGCTCTCCGAGGCCGACGTGAGAAGGGTCTTTAATCAGGTCAACACCCACAAGGCCGCGGGCCCCGACGGTATTCCAGGGCGCGTTCTCAGAGCATGCACAGAACAGCTGGCAGGCATATTCACTGTAATTTTCAACCTCTCCTTGTCCCAGTCTGTATTCCCCACGTTTTAAGATGACCACAATCATACCTGTTCCTAAGAACTCTAAGGTTTCATGTCACAATGACTACCGCCCTGTAGCACTCACTTCTGTAATCATGAAGTGCTTTGAGAGGCTGGTTATGGCACACATTGACTCCAACATCCCAGCCACCATAGACCCACTCCAATTTGCATACCGCCCCAACTGATCCATAGATAACGCAATCTCAATTGCTCTCCACACTGCCCTCAACCACCTAGATAAGAGGAATACCTATGTGAGAATGCTGTTCATTGACTACAGCTTAGCTTTCAACACCATTATCCCCTCCAAGCTTGTCACCAAGTTAAGGACTCTGGGTCTGAACACCTCCCTCTGCAACTGGCGACGATGAGTCAACCTACAGGGAGGAGGTCAGTGACCTGGCAGTGTGGTGCCGGAGCTACAACTTCTCCCTCAACGTCAGCAAGACCAAGGAGCTGATCATGGACTACAGGAAACGGGGGAGCGAGTTTACCTTGTATCTTTATTGACCTTTTATTTCAATATTTCTCTATGCACACTCACAGGGCCCTACACACTCACTCACACTGTCACTCCAACACACACACACAAACACTCACTCCATCATTTTCTCACTCACACATAATATGCACATACATTTATACTGACTCTACACACCCACACACCCACTCACATGCAAGCTGCTACTCTGTTTATCTTATATCCTGTTGCCCAGTCCAATATTTATTGTATATAGTATGCTTACATACTTACTTTATTGTGTATTTCATATTTCTTATTCCTCGTGTGTTTTTTTCTAGTAATACATTATTATTGATAATTGGATTGTTGGGTTTTGAGCTTGCAAGAAAGGCATTTCACTGTACTTGTGCATGTGACATTAAAACTTGAAAGGCCCGTCACTTCTTGTCAGAAAGATATTCATACTGTCAAACAAAGTACAACGCTGGAAATCTATCCACTCAGTGTATATGTAATAGTAATTAACCTTTAGGATAGGGGGGAGATGTATGACCACCAGGCGCTTACACTGAGTGTACAAAACATTAGGAACACCTGCTCTTTCCATGACATAGACTGACCTGGTGAATCCAGGTGAAAGCTATGATCCCTTGTTGATGTCACCTGTTAAATTCACTTCAATCAGTGTAGATGAAGTGGAGGAGACAGGTTAAAGAAGGATTTTTAAGCCTTGAGACAATTGAGACATGG